GGTCCTTTACATGTACATATGCGATTGTAACGCTCTACTTAGCACCTCTGACATTAGTTTCAGATAAGATCAAGTTACGGCGTTGCAGATGTAATAAGTAACGCTTGTTCTGCTCTGACGAGTTTCTCGCTTCATCTTTTATCTACGAAAGATCATATGATATTGATTGACTTGTAACAAAGCGAATTAAACTGTTAATCATAGATACGAAGATTTAATAAATATACGTAGCTAATTGTGTAAATACAACTTGCATTTTTTTAGGAGTCGTACTGTCCAATACTGACTAGTTAGTAAGAAAAGAAAATAAATAGTAAACTCGTTAATGTTCTTTGGCGGCCTCGGCCATCAAATGGTTTAATACACCATCTTACATCCGATGATAGCAGATTCGATTCCACGATGAGTACAAACATTTTATTTGTGAATATGATTATATACGTCATCATCATTCGTCATCATTGCCTTGCCTTTATCCCATTATTTGGGGTCGGCGCAGTATGTCATTCTCTTCCACTGTCGTCATATCTGAGCATACTCTTCTCTTATTCATATCATCTTTCACACAATCCATCCATCTTTTCTTAGGGCGTCCCTTCCCTTTCATCCACATTCATATTATACACTTCCATAAGACATGATCCTCGTTCCTCCGCATAACATGCCTATACCAGCTCAATCTGTTACCTCGCAACTTTTCTATAACTGGCGCAATATTATATATATTAATAATATTATAATTATATATGTATTTACAAAAAAAACTTAAGTATTTATATCAGTTGTATTATATCCATAACACAAGCTTACGACTAGATGGCTCTATGTTTTTATCTCAAACCCTGAATTGAATGAATATTAGCTTGTACGGGATATAAACAGAACTATACATCTACATATGTATAACAAACGATAATGATGTGAGATTATCTCGCTTTCATACATCTCATCCTTGAATTGTAAATCCGGTAATTCAAGTTCACGTTTCGCTACTCAAATAGACTTAAATGAGGCAAGAGGTCGAATACATTATTGCATATAGTTAAATAAACATCACATCTAATTTTGTACGCTTAATAAAACCTTTCATTGAAGTATCGAATGCAAGCTTCGCCGATACATTCATTGTTCACGCTCGAACGTATCTTCCACGCTCCAACATATTTCGATTTCGAAACGAAGGTCGTACATACATCGTGACTGAGCATGTCATAACTAGATCACTAGTACAGAATGGCACAATTTGCGTATTCCCATTACCGCAAAATTAGTTTATAATTCCGAACGGGCAAATTGGAGTTTTTAAGAGTTGGGCAGCCGTAAATCGTGACCAGCGTGATGCAAAATAGCTAAATGACAATAGGAAGCATGCTGCGAAAACGAAAGTGTTCTGGTATTGCACAAATTGGTAGTGGATACAAAATCAGAGCACAGACCTTAAAGATTATAGGATCAGTGGGTACAGCTACATAATACAGTAAAATAATATAATAAATATTAAGATTTTTATTATATTAGACTTTTCCTTTAACAAAATTTATTTTACCGTTTTCAATTTAAATTGTTTTTTGTGTCTCTACCGAAATGTATGTGATTTAGATGTGTACCTATACACATGTTGGAGGTGTCTAGGTATATGAATGAAACGTAAATAAAAAACACGTATAAAATGTGAACACATTTTATACGTGTTTTTTATTTACATTAAAACACAAATAATTGCACATTATAGTAGTGCCATCTAGTTCCATTTTAAGTACGTTACGAAATGTCAGACATTACGGTTTATTTATTACGGTTGCTGAAAGCCATAACTAGATGGCGCTATTAATAATAAAATGTTTTATTGTCTTTTTTGTATATTTTTTACTTAAATGTACCTATGAAACAGTATTAAACTTATCACGTGGTTTCTTGCAGTTGCTTTGAGAGCCAATGTATCAACCTAAATATAACACAGTATGCAAATTCTTTGTTAGCGATATGATTTGCGGACTGAACCACAATGTTTTTCAGACAACATCGAAACAACTTTTAGTTATTATTATATCTATTAGAACTTACACAATAACTACTTGACTAAATATCGCAATCATGAACTGCTACTAGTAACTCAAAATTAGAAATTGTGGATAATCAAATTTGCTTTGATATCAAATATACATTTTTATAGTTTTTGTGTTAATGGAATTCCTTTTAAGCATACGGTAATTTCAATACCTTTATTACATAGAGTTGCTTTCCACAGAATAGCATCACGTTATTTTCTTAGTACAGAAAAAGAACGCTTGTATGTACAGCAAATTAACATTCAAGTCAGCGACTGAACTAATCTGGATTCTAATACCGTTGCAACATACCGTCTGTGGTATTTCCAGACACATCTTTTAAACGCTAAAGATATCTGTGAGACGTTCATCTGCTTCATATTAACATAAGTACCTCTAACATTTTGAATATAAAATTCGCACTTAGTAACAGTCTGTTTAAATACGACGTTTTTTGTTGCCATTTTATGGATTTTCTCACAATGTGAAATATCCATATCCAAGGTTGGAACTTAAATAGGTTAGACATAAGTGTATTCCTTGTAATATTGGCAGAGCCAGCTTGAGATGCAGTAAAGTTACTATTTTGGCTGGTATCACATTAGTAGATTATTACTTTTTTGTTATTTAGTATAGGTACCATAGGATTGTCACTGTCATATTTTGGGTATAAAAATACTAAACAAAATACGTTTATGATATCAATCTCAGGTAGAGGTAGTCGTAAAAGTTGTTAACTATCGACTAAATTACATAGTCAATGTTGCTGTCTGTCCGTCCCTATAGGTATGTGCTTGCATCTTTAAAACTACGCAACGGATTTTGAAGCTTTTTTAATAGATAGAGTGATTCAAGAGGAAGGTTTACGTATATAATACATGCTTATGCATAATACATGCCCCGGCTTCGTACGGGTCTACCGTACGAAGCCGGGGCGAGTAGCTAGTATAGTATAGCATAAAGCGAACCTACCGCTAACTTTCAAACTACCTCCTTTAATAGATTTATTTATGAAGAATTAGCCATAAAGATATATTATCAACTAATATATGTACATATAACATATGCTGGTGGTCACTCTATTCTCCCAAATTTGAATTTTAATAACTGTATTCATCACAACATGTTCCACTATTATTTGAAAAAAATACGAGCTGAGTTTCTTGTCAGTTCTTCTCATCTCGATATCATTCCGAACTGACGGTAGATTTGACATATCATAAGAGTCTGTAATAGACCTACATGAATAAAGATATTTTGAATAGATTTTTTTTTAATTGAATATATATATATATATATATACTGTAAAACCATTCGTGGCAATATATAATATATCATTTATTAATGTCTATTTAGCTGTTTAGTTGTGAAAAGACAATAAGAGACACTTTTATAGCATTTATAACATTTGTATTTATTGATAAATCATGATAACTACTTTGGAAGCATCGACTGCTACCATTTATTTATATAATAGAACCAATAATTACATCTTTAAATCTCTATTAGCTATTGCATCGAGATTTCCGCTCGATCATTCAATATAATTGGAAGTAGGTGAACTCACAATGGAGAATCTGTGACGAGCATATTAATCCTTTTAAAAAAGAATATAGGTCGCCTTTATATGTGCAGCGTGCAGCTACTAATCCCTTTATTCAGGCATGTAATTACTTTTCTATTTCTTTTAAATTTACTGTTACTTGTGGTTGTAGAAGAAATTCGAGAATACATTTATTTTTAGTAAATACAAAGAAAATTTAATTACACAACTAAAATACTCGTGAATACAAATGTTTGCAGCATGCAAGGAATCGAACCCGTGACCACCGGAAAGTAAAGCGATTTGCCAAACCACTGTGACCGGCCGGCAATTTATTGTACATTTGACTTATCATTACTGCCTAGACCTATTTGATTGATTAGGTTTCATATAACACTCTTATGAACATATATAAATAAAAACCTAAATATAAGTTTTAAGATATGTTTTGTAAACAGCTCCCTTCACCCAGATATATAATAAGAGAGTATCTAATATGTTTATTAAATGTAGGTATTTATCTATATATGAATCTTGAGAATATTATACTCTAAAATTGATAATTTTAATGCAATTTAGGCACACCATAAAACTATGGTTTAAAGAAACACTTTTTACATAAATTCTCGCTATGAAAGCCGCGTGATCCAACTATTATAAATAAAAGACAAACCAATACAGTGCGTGCTCGACCATATTTCCATCATGATAAATCATTAACAATGTTTATCGTGTACGTTTCGTTTATTTTCGCGATTACCGCTAGATGAGGATAGATAATTATTATGGAGGTGCAATGAGACCCAACCTTAAGTCGCATGTTGTCGTGAATTCGGCATATTGCAAGCCATGCGAACGTCACGACACCATTGCACAATCGTCGCTAAACGATTTATCTGATTGCTAGTATCGACTAAGAGAGCGTTATATCCTAGTGGTTATTACCCCAACAAACATACCCACAGGTTGTAAGTTCAAATTAGACCGGTACCAAATATATATACTAGAATAGAAATTCTTTATTCAAATAAACTTAAATTTAAGCACTTTTGAATAGTAAAACTTATTTTTTTAAATCTATCGCTCATTCTGAAACACCTCATCAGAAGAAGAGCAAGCAAGAAACTTGTGGGTATTATATATATAAATTAACCTAAACCTAAAGTTTATATTCACACATTTCAATGTGTCGAGCTGGGCGTTGTCTAGTATATTGAAAAAATGTATATCTATGTATTTATATCAGTTGTCTAGTACCCATAACACAAGTTCTGCTTATCTTGGGACTAGATGGCGTTGTCTGAATTTTTTAGGGATTATTATTATAAATATCTTCAGCTATCTGTCGAGTGTTACGTTTACCACAAAAAAATGCATATAAACAAAATAACAGATACCTTTGTCCACAGTTCAAAGACCTATGGACATCAAGAACAGACCTCGCATTCCTATCCCAGATGAGGATCCATACAGCATCGCTAGTTCGAACGCAAACGGATCAGGATCTAGTGGTAGCTCCGGCGGCTATGGACATAACGGTCACGGCGTGGTCGCAGCCACGAGGGAACAGCTAATGATGCAGATGGGCCAGAGGAGAGGGGACAAACCGCCCAAGCTACCCCCCAGGGAGAACGGATACGGGCCTGCTGATATTCCTAAGGTTTGTACATAACATTCAAGTACTGTAATAATCATAAAAATATTTTTTATTGCAGTATCACAAAACAATAAGGAGTAGATATAATGAAGTTGTTACAATTATTCGACGCATTGCATCTTTTAGTGTTACAATCTTAAAAATAATTAATTACATTTATGTATTGCAATATCCTGCAAAAGATAGACAGACATATAGAGTAAAAAGTATAATATAGTTGGTAAATTATTTTCTGACAAACTGCAGAGGCAAAGCAGTATAGGTACAAGGCTTCGCAGTATTATTATATATTTATTTTCTATGTGTAAATAGCATATTAATTATTATGTATCTAATATGCATTATTATAAATATATATCGTATGATGATACGTTAAGTGTGTATTCTTTAAAATACACAGATATATTATATAAATAAAAAGTTTCAACTTTTATATTAGGTATTGCATTTCACAGGAATGCTAACTATAGGAATGAGTTTTACCATAAACCATCACTTTTAAAACCACAACATAGCTACTGGACTTGAAATAAAAGTAATGGAATGAAACAAAATATAAAAGTATTGTAAATTTAAAATTTCTATATATGATGTACAATAACGAATAAGTAAGCATGCATTTCAATTTACAATAGCATTTATGTGCCTTCGTCTTGTATTAATTTAATCATATCTAATTTGCCTCAGTTGCCTGTGTGATTGAATAATATACACCAACTCTTCTCAACTTTGTTGTTTCGTGGGTTGCTATAAAAATAATAGAGTAAAAAGTAATTTATTGTTTATTTATTTCTGCATTGTGTATATGATTAATAAATATCTAAATAAATTTATAATCATATATAACCCGTTTCCCTTTTTTAAATATAAAGGTCTAAATAATAATAATGATATAGACATAGACATTAAAATACTCATTAAATTACATTTAATTACATAATTAATCAAAAGACTGGAACTAAATGTTCCCGAAATCGTAAAATATCTAACATCGTTTTTGTATTCGTAATGTTCAATGTCAACGATTAGTTAACAAAGTGCATTTTTCTTTATAATTTTATATAGGATTCTACACCCCTAAATTTTTATTTTATGTAATAACCACAGATAACATAATATTACATAGTAATAACTAACATATATCTTTATTTCATTTGTATCTGGGACCGATAAAATAAATACTCAAAAAACATAAAGCAATAGGAATATAATTAAAACTTTTTTTTATTACATAATTCTACCGAGGAAATTTCGAATTTAGATATATCCAGAATTGAAAAAGCCTATTTAGATTAATAATTAGATTTATAGAAAAACATATGTTTATGTATATGATTTGAATTTACAAATTAATGAAAACAGAAAAAAATTGGTATGTTCTTTCGGTGTTGGTATGTTCTTACGCAGTAGTATATGACTAGACACATATACCCACAGAACACAGTTATCTTTTCTGTACAATTAATATTATTCTGCGGACCGACTATTGAGATTGCATGATTCAAATTTATAACCGTATTCTTTTCAATCCAGAATATGTGCATCAGTGTGGTTGCGATTTATCAGTAATTCGCATGTGAAAATAGCTTTATAAATTCATATACTTACACACTTTTTTGTTTAAAGGTGAGAAATAATGAAGTTCAGACTTTAGCCGTACATTTACAGTCTAATGTTCTATTTTATATACGTATAATAATCAACATATTTAATAATATAATCAGTCAACTAATAAGATATTAAGATTAAGACTATTTACAAGGACTGTATAAAATAATAGTAGAAAACGTATACGTATATGGAGCTGTATGATATGATATGTATGACGGTTGACAGATTTATGTAGGTAAAATATTGAATGTGACTGTCTCATCGATGAGGTAAATGGTTCTTAGCTGCTAATTAATTAGGAAAGAGATAATAAAATGAATGTAACGTATGAAACATATATAACGTTGGCATACTAGTGAAACTTATACTATTTGACTACCACTCAAAGTTTAAATAAAAAATCTGTTTCTTTTATTACATAGACATCCAATTGAGCACTTGGTAACTACTACACGTATAATAATTCGCGTAATATTAATATGAAGAAAACATAGCAAAATAGCATGTAATATTAGTCAATAATAGAAAAACAATATATTAATGATTATAAAATCATAGTATCCACTTTTTTGATGAGTTTTATTCGAATGAAACGCCGGTGGAGTTACACAAGAATCGATTTATCAATCGATAATCATATAAAAACGGTGAGAAGGAGGCGAGAGTTCAATCGATTTACAAGTACCCGCCACCTGTTCGGAGTTCTCAATCATAGGATTGATTTCATGCATTCATTGAATGATTATATTTTCATCATGGCAATGATTTATTGTTCAAGTCGGGAGTTCCAATACAGATACTGATGTATGTATTTAAAACCAAATAATTACTAATATTAAAAATGTAAATGTGAAAGCAACTGTTCAAAGTGAATTTAGTGAAATGGAGAAACTATTTAAATCATTAAACAGTATTGAAGTTATGACTAAAATGTAATAAACGTACAACAATTACATATAGTTATACGACAATTAGTGATCCCTCTTGTACAAAATACAGGGTCGTCCGAAAACCAGGAGACCCAGTAATAAGCTTTGTCTTAAAGTGGTGTTTAACATCTATGGTGATGGCTACTACCCTACCTCGATACATACCACCAAACTCGTACTATTTATATTTCTATATTTTTCCTTCAATACTATTTTATATATGTTCAAGTCGAATTAGTAATATTTCTTTCTCTGTTTGGAAATAATTCAAAAGAACATGGCATATACCTACTTTAAAATACATTGTTCTGGGTGTAAAGAAATATCATGCAAGCATATGTATGTAAATGTTTATCTTTAAGATCATCGACGCTAAATATGATTGTCACCAAGTGCCAGAATATATGTATACAAGTAGGTATATGTAAATATAATATAACAGTTGAAACATGTTGGTCATACAAATGAACAATGTCTTTTACTTGAACACTTAAATCTACATTGTTATTTTTGTGAACTAGTTATATACTCATAAGTTACAGATATATATATGTATATATATATTATAATGGATGTCGCAACTTCACCGCAAAACGGAGATCACTATTTATAAACAAGTACTTAATCATTCAGAAATAATTAAATATTGTTGAATTTTAAACAACCAATTTCCGGTAATATCAACATAAATATACATCTGATCAATACTATTAATATTATTTATAGTATGCAATGAATGTAAGGAATTCACAGTCCGATTTCTAAGAGGCAATTATTTTAACCGTAACCTATTTTTTTTAATGTCCTGTGGATAATTAAACATTACTTCGTTTCAAACTACTCTAAAATATTATTATTGTATGATATGAAAACTATTTACAACGCGAATTTCGATCAAAATATTTTCTACCATGTTGTTTTCTATATAAAGTAAAATAGCCAACCACTTACTACAATACGTTTACTTCCTTTTCTTACTACAAAAATCACGATTTTTACGACATTTTAATTGTCATAAAATCATATTATATTAACTCAATATAATATGATTTTATAACAAATTGTTATGGAACAACACTAGATACAAAAGTTAGTTAAATACAGGGTGGTATTCATTGCTCTTTCTCCTGATAAGATCCTGTCATCAGTATGAGCAACATTTACCGCTTGTTACGATGTAAAAGATTGTTATTCGCCCACACATTGCATATTTACTTCATCGCTGTTACTTTCAACCATGAGTAGGTAAAAACAATAAAATAGTTAAATATATTTCAACAAACTATAAACCTTAACATGTATACATAAGGTTTGAAATTGAACTTTTATTGTCTATCATATGTGCAATGTACACGTTCGCTTTTTACGCTTCAAATGGAATGGGAGTTGATAACTTCTTTGTAATGTTCCGTGATTTAATAGATAACTATAATAGTGGTCTCGATATTTTGAATTTAAATTGCATAGTTCATATAAACAAATTTTTAATCCTTCTAATATTATAAAGAAAGATTGAATATCCGAAAGCAAAGAAATTTTTTAACAGTTTTAAATGTATTCTAGAGTGACTGTTACATGTTTGATTTGTTTAATTATAATAGTTGATTTGTTTAACATTTGATGGTAGGTAAATTCTATTTATCATTATGTCTTTACGACATACGTACAACATAAGGTTGAGCTATATGTGAATTTTCAGCTATCGATATGCCCTTCCGATTCTCGGTTCCATTTCAATTCCAACAGGCATCGTTATTTCAATTTATATAAGTCACTATAAGTCTGTCTGCGGCTTTGCGAGTCATTCTTCTTTTTCAATTCTGTTTTTGTATTTTATTTACCTTTTAAATTAGCTATATAACAAACCGTATTTCCATAAATCACCATCATAACCTTGGGTAACACACTTTTTTATTTTCAGCCGGATTACGATGATATAGAGGTGAACGAGCGCGTCCCAACACAGTTCCCGAGAGGCAAGTCCGACAAAGGGAAAGACAACAAGAAATACGGTGAGTGCAAATTATGGTCACAATGAACGTAATTACAGCGATACAAATTGCACTAATGATCGCATTTGCAACCTAACTGCAGCGGTACAAAAATCTGGGCGAAAAGAGTCAACTGGTTCAGTATATATTTTTATGTGAATGAAATGGCAAACAAGCGGACGGACTACTTGACGATAGGCGCTAACCGTCGCCATTACATATATGTACATGAATAGCACTTCGGATATCTGTCCCCTCCGATCGATCCACCGTCCAATTCAAACGGGGTTCGATATTACGACAGCCTGAGCCGAGGTTCGAACCCCTAGTGGTGCCCTCAGACTATGTCGTATCCGTTAGGCGGGAGTTGGCCTTCAGCCGCTCCATAAGTCCTTTCGCGGGTTTGGAGTGCCATCTGCACTCGCCACCTATCGTCCGATGAAGCTGTAAAGGCCAGCTGCGGCCAACAGCATTAGAGTAGTTCGAATAAAAAAAAACCTCGGATATCACATTATCATGTGACACCCGTGATGCCACTCATACATTGCAATTCCAGATGACTCAAAATGTTATGCCTCTTGTCCTGTAATTTCACTGTCTCATCTGTACCCTATAACCAAAACACAGAAACTACAGCCAAAGCAAGCAAAAGCAAACAAAGCAAGAAGCACACGACTTTTTACAGTCTACATCTGGTACTATTAATAATTTCGAAAGTGTCTAAATGTTTGTTACCTTTTTACACTCAACGATTAAGATCATTTCAATCGAAGTAATCTTAATTAACGTTGATATAAAGATAATTTGTATCAGGGGAAAGGACATAAGACATTTTTATCTCAAAAACTTATGTGGACAAATGAGTTTTTGACTGATATTAGGAATTCAAAGAGTGTGACATAAGGAATGACAATTTGGGCAGACGTAGTCCCCAATGAATACCAAGGCACAGCTATTAGATAATATTATCACCAAGTCGGTATGTACGATGTCAAAAATTGAAGATATGAGTGAAACAAATATATTTTGCCCAGCACAAATAATTAACCTAAATATACATTTTCTTTTATTTATAATAACATGTGCAAAGAAAAAATATACCAACACATGAATACGTGCAAAATTCGAAATACCAATCCAGTACTTATTCGATTTACACAAATGTTTGCAAATGCATAGTTCAAAAATAATTCTAGTTGCACCAACATGTATCCAAATATATATAATAAATACTTCAAATATATGTTCAAACATTTGATAACACCATGTCTAGCGCCAAGGTAGGTACAAGATACGAGTTATTTAAAAGCCCATTAACACTATCCTACTCGCTATGTTATATCGCTAGCTTACCACATATGGTCACTTTATCCTTTATACAAACAATAATAATAACCAATACCCTAAAAATGGCCGACCGCCATAATTTGCCCACGGAACTCTATGGGCGGGTAAGTTGGCATTAATTACAAAGTGCCATAAATTCTCCGCAACAGGAGTGGTATCGGCGTCCCGTCCCACCACTAGGCCATAACAGTTTATCTAAAGCCTGCCCAGAATGGTCATTATGTTCCAATAAACATACGCACTTTTTCCTTTTCTCGAAACGCACTCGCAGTGAAAACAAACAATACGATTTTTATTGTAATGCGCTCACCGTGATATGTAGCAATGGCGAATTATAAATGTTGTGTAAAATGAAACGCTTCTGCCTTATAGGTGGCAATCATAAATACCTACGGCCCGTTAGGTAACTTACATTAAAATATAATATAGTCTCTGTAGTCTCGAGCACGAGTAGGGATGTCAAACGTATGTTTACAACGCGTAAATGTTAAAGTAACACTTCGTATTATGTTTTAGACACTTCGCGACTAATTCTGACAGTAATAAAATAAGAGCTATTTTCTTTATTGCATAATTGTGTTTTCTAGAGTAGACACTTACGAGCGACGTAGACTATGTACAAAGTCACATTTTGCACTTGCTTATGACGTTTTCGTTGAATAGAGTTGAGATATGGCAGTGTAATTACATAGTATAGAGCATGACATATTAATCCTCTGAAATGTTAAAGGGTGAGGGATATCTGTTATGGGCGTTACATAATGACGTGCTGCTATTAACGTATATAAGCTATATGGGCAGGCTTATGGTGAATTGTACGGTTGCTTGGTTATTCCAGATGTATAATAATTCCATAGATGAAATAAAAAAGCTAAATTACAAATATCTATCTTAAATACTACCATATTATATACTAAAGTTTGGGGTATATTAACGTTTTTTTTTTCTACGATGCTGGCACACAAGCATACGGCCCATTTGATGGTAAACGGTTACCGAAGCCTATGCCATATATACTCCAGGTTTCAGGCACAGGTATAAAAAATATGGTTAAGCAGTTATAGCGTGCGTGCTCTTTCGTATTCATAATAATAGCTAAGATAAGTAACCATCATTTTACTTTGTTCATAAATTCCAAAAGATATAAATAAGTGCCACCCTCCTTTCCACTGCGAGATATAAGATACTGTAAGCAAACAATTATTGTGCACTCCGTGAAATCTCAATTTCATGTAAACGCGAGTGTCCCATTTAGGTCTATTAATTTTATTTCAGACAGCAATAGTGACAACCATACCTAATGGTCTGGTCAAATGTCATCTAGTTGACACTGGGACAGATTTATGTAGACGGCTCGCCATGTGTGTAGATAGAGCAATGGAAATTGCCGCGAATACTTTGTTTTATATTAAGTATCATGTACATTACCAGGGACCAGCCGGTATTTTCTGGATACTAATTTCAATGCAGTAACATTAGATTCTATTGTTTCCTTTTAAATAACTAAAATTGAATTTTCTATCCAGTGAAATATTGATGTTTTAAACTGTACAGAACAGTATAAAAGTGATTTGTATTGAAAGCTGTATTCGTGTTTACACATTGTTGCAACTATTGTAGAAAACTCTACTTTACATTTACTTGAATATACAATAAGTATGTGAGTTTAAAAAAAAACTTATTATATTCAATAACTAAAATGAAACTAGCAGTATATCAATTCCATATTTTCTATCCAGTGAAATAATGTATATATAAAAGAATTTTTATGCCTACCTGGGTTTGTATTTTTAGAGTTCGAAAACCATAGAAACTTTCTGGTTTATATAATACGATCGCGATATACAGACAGATTTTCTACAAATATATTTATGTTTTCTTGCAATGATTGTGGTTTAAAAACCATAATCAAACCTTTTCGGTTATTGTTATACGATACTTAGTTATAATGGACAGATTTTCTAGAAACATTTATGTTTGCTTGCCATATACTACTATTGTGGTATAAAAATATTATTTAAGTATAGCAGCACATACTGGGAATCTATTTAGATTTATGTCGTTAATCTACAATCCAACATTTTGTTTCATACAATCAGCTAAATAATTTAAATAGTTTCATAATATATGACACAATGAAAAGGTCATTTATTTTATAAAAAAGGCTAAGTGAAAAATAAGAAAATTCTATTTTGATACAACAACTATATATTTATTAATACCTATACTATTATGTAATTTTGTACATAGTTTTTTTTTTTCTAAAAAGGTATTATATGGGTAAATTCAAAATTTTAACATTGGACATTGACTTTAGTTTTATATAGTAAAACTTTAAGTTGAGCTAAAATATTATTTCAAAAAACAATATTTTCGCTAAACGTAAGATCTTTCGTTTTACATATGTTATCTGTGGTTTTGTTCAAAAAACGCGATGTATATTATCAGTCAGTATCGCCTGTATATTTAAAAAAATAGCAATGTATACGACAATTGTACTCATGCAAAGCCAGGGCGTATCACAGGTTAAACTATAAATGTTTACGTCAACTTCAGTTATACAAACTATAGAGGAAACCTAATTCTATCGTGGCTAAGTGGGAATATGTTATAATATCAATATTATAAGTCAGACATGATTTACAAATCGACACCCTCGTATTTATGACTTGACCTTATAATATTTCTTGTTATGCGATAAATCAAAATTATTTACATGAGATAAAATAGATTTAAATAGGACCAATGTGCCTAGTGACATAGGACTTAGCTAAAAAATAGAGAAAGTTAATATATTAATGCTTAACAAATACATTAAATTAATAAAAAAAAATCACATACATCATATGCGTTTGAAAGACCTTAGTAACTTTCAAACTAAAAATTTAAACTAATTGTGGTCGAATTTCGGTTTTGACTGTTGGCAAACCTTCCTACACGTATAAATCGAAAGTATACAGAAATAAACGTGCACATGCGTTATACCATATCTATAATAAAAATGATCAAGTATACCAATGTGTAGATCACGTAGCTAATACCGTATATATATGTAGATCTATCAGTCCTCAGTAGTGATTAATATACCGATAGCAATATAATTATGGGATTCGCTACATTCGCTACAGATATATTCACACATATCTGTAGCGAAAACCCATAATATATTCGCCAACAATCACCGTCGGCTTGACAAACAAGAAAACATTTTTCAATGTTTACATTCTACATTTAAGTCCATTTAGCATGATTTAGGGATAAAAGCCACTTTAAAAGCCCATACATCACTGTTAAACAAGAATAGTGACACGAATAAGTGCATAGAGTTAATCAAAAATAAAAGAAAATCATTCGGAGCCACAGATCATTTTGATGTATAACTCGCGTCCTACATCTTAGCAGATATAAACAAAAGCGCACGATAAAGTTAATGTTGTGACTAGCCTTTTGGGTTAAATATCAGGTGAAACATGAGTCTATTTTAAAATGGTGTAACTTAACCTTTATATATGGTCTTTGTTCAACAGGACTATTGCAAGGGACAATAGATTGGTGTTTGCAAATTACGTGTAAAATCATTAATAAATCCATGTCACGTTATTGTATTTCTATTATTTGTTTCATTTATGAGCATTTAGTTCTTTCTTGGCATAAAAAATAACAAAGATTGTATCTAATTCATTTTCAACAGATTTCAATAGCAAGACCAATTTTAGATTCTACTTGACTGTATTTCTGTAAATACCTATGGCCTTGGAGTATTCTGAACAGAAATTTATGATTCTTTGTTTATTTTGAAATTTAACCCTTATGTTTTTAAAGATAATAGTTTAAACAAAGCATAGCATTAGTAGATACGATATTCATCGATTTTATCATAAATTTTAGAATTATGCTCAAATTAACTGATTTGTTCTCTACATTAATTAATGCTTAAAATATATCTATTTATTATTTTAGAATACGACAATAGAGACACATCTCTACGTACCTAATTTTTTTACAAATCTTTTAGCCATTTTACTATTTAAAGACCCAAAACATTTTTACATACTTTTACATTTACAATGTCAGTTTATATAATAGAGTTAATATAATAATTTTATATTGCTTTTAAAATCTCTATTAAAGCAGTTTATTCACTTGACAACAGAGGAATTTCGCGGTCATATTCGGTATAAAATTTCGCACACGAGGCGCGCAGTGGAGGAGACAATGGCTCGATGTGGCGCAACTCCTCATTGGCATTTCGGGGTATCCTTGATATTTTGACTGGCGGTATTTGGAACGAGTCAGGCGTAGGATGCGGAACATGGGACCGAGCGTGCACGCGTGCCATTACATTGTATGTGCACATAGATCGCTCGCACTGATCCTGTCCCGCTTTTTACATGAGTGATATTGATGCATCATTGCTCTGTGTGATTGTGTTTCGTGTCTGATACAAAGTTGCGACAAGATAGTGTATTAATGTTTATAGTAATGTCTCTACAGTAATATTGAACTTAGATTTAAAATATAGGTTCATGTAATCGTTCAATTTTTTTTAACAATTATACAATTGAAATAAAGACATATAAGTTTTGATACTATGAGTTGGATAGTCTAAATCTCTAATTATAATTACGTTGAGTTTATCCCTTACTTATTTCTTATTGGACAGAGTAAGTTTCAGAGTAAGCTACAAAAGTACCTACTAAGTTAAATATTTAGTACAAAAGTCAGTATGTTCGTTGCTTTTATCATAAATTATCAGTCACTCTTTCCTGCATTCCAGATGACCCATACTACTGCGGATTGCGAGCCCGTGTACCCAACTTTGTGAAGACCAACGGCGCTAAGGTGCTGCCGTCAATGGCAGAGAGGATGACTCTTAAAGAGGCGCCAGTACCAAGCAAACGCTACAGCGTGGCTCATCCTCACCCAGGGCCGTTCCTGCCGCATATGCCGCCGTTTGCTCACGCCCCCATGCCACCAGCAGCTCTATGGCACGCACGCTCCTACGAGAGCGGAATCGGTGCGTACGAACGTCCCCCCAGAAAGGAAAAGCTCATGTACCAATTCTATCCTAACAGGGATCAACGGCTGCGACCGCTCGTCATCCAGCAGCCACGCTAGTGTACATACCGATTAACCTCGCACTTAAATTCCACCGCCTCGTCGCGGACCCTCCGCTACAATCTTGGTATTTAAACTTTCTGTTTATTTCGAACGCTTCGCTTGGTAGCACCTTTCGCCTACTAGCTTCTACGGCAAATAATCTCTTTACACTATGTTTTCTACACTTACTCACTTCCTGTGTTCTAATCTCACTATTTTCCGGAAACTATTTCAACGACTTTCAAGTCTGTTCCTAACTTCTTTAATTTGACCAAGAGTTTTCTGTTAGTAGCTTTGCTTAACTATTAAGTCGCATTTCATCATCTATTACACAAATAGTACACGATTGAAGTACACAAAGGTACATTTAAGATACTTCAACAGCAGTCATAGATCTACCATAGACTATTTTGTATAGATAATAAAAAATTATAGACTAGCACCACACACTTGTATGTACGCAAGCACAGGACTAACCAACACAATATTGCAGATGGCGATCCCTATGACCCATACGCGTTGTATGGCCGTCTTCCCATACCTGGCCGCGGCTTTCCACCCCCACCGGCGCCGAATGCACGCCACATGTTCATCGGAGAATGGGATTAAGGCTACTTACGGAGACATGGTTTCCTCTTAAACAAAAGATACCGTCACATCTACCCTTCATATGTTTTTTATTCCTATCGATTAACTATTAGTTAAACCAAAGACTCGAAGTCTTTAACGAAATAAGATTTGTAACTTATTTAAAATTTAAATGTGACCGTATCTTAGAAAAACGTTCCAATATGAACATTGTAAATATTTGCATATTTGTAAATTATAATCGACGATTAAGTTCATTTGGTAGTCTAAATTGGAACAAATTTCATGTGCACAAATCGAAGATAATAAATATCTACATGTCAATAAATATTATAATTGAAACTAGAATAATACTTAATATTTAAATATCTATAGTATTAATTCTGTATGTTTTTACAATTAATTGATAATTAAGGGAACTTTAGACTTCATATTTCCATTGTTTAATATAATTTCTTTGTATTGTCTTTGTAGTAAGTAGCTTTTTTATTGTAATTAAAATATTATTGTATAAACTATTATCTACATTGTAATTGTAAGGCTACTCATATACATTCGGTCAGTCGTCTGATTGCTCGCAAATACATTCCTATAGATTCGAACTTGCTAATTTGTTGGCTACGCTTCGTCCTCTTCTTAGATGCGTCAATCGAAGTCCATTGGAACTATTTAGAACGTTGATCGCATTCGGATAATCTGACCACTAGCCGACTGTATACTAGCAGCCTAAGTTAATTGATCACTGCCGATTTAACGACTTATGCGATTTCAGTACCACCCGCGTTTTAATCGCTGTTTATGTAATTAGAGTAAGGTGTCAATCCTAGTCAAAACTGGGTTGGGAATATATACAATTGGTAAAAGGCGGATATATACATTACATAGGTAAGTAATGAAATATGAATAATACATCTACGTATGCAACGTGAATAATATAAATACTTTATTCCATCCCAAAATAAAATAAAAATAAGAAAAAATTAAATTTGTTGTTTATGGTATTCATAAACAATAAATGTAATTTTTATGTACACATAAATATTTCAGTCGTTATGGCTGCACTGCCAAGGTTTCGACAACCGACCCAAAATTTTTGTTTTCAATTACTGGAATAATGATCAAAATCAAATATTTAATTAAGTAATTCGGATACTAAAATCACTTGTGATACAAATTTCCATTGCAGTCTGGTAACATACTTAGTTATTATGTTTATGAAATTATAATCCTTAAGATTATTTATAGAACAATCGATTCTTTTTTTTATTTGACATGATTACAACCTTGCTTATATGAATTTATTTAAGTTAAGATAGAAAACATAGGAGTGTAATATTGTATTTGATAATAATATTATCGTATTGTAAATATTTTGTTTATATTTTTGAAGTGTGAATAAAATCACTATTTTATCCTTCCAATACTCAAATGTCTAAATATAATTAGTTAAGTGTCTAATACTTTTGTACAATCAGCTAACCAAGTTTAATGTTATTTATTAAAATAATTACTCTATCTTTGTGTATTTTTAAAATTAGATTTATATATTTTATACATTATGTAGTTAGCTATTTAGGATATAGGCCCTTAAAAGAACGTTATGTGAATAATAAGGTTCTTTTAAGCTTGTAAATAGATTACGTTGATTGCGGAAAACAGAAATTTAAACATATTTGTACATTCAAAATTATTCGGAGGTGCTACCAACGTTACCATTTAATCTCTTTTATATATATAACATTGTAGTTTTATTTTATGATAAATGTATTCCCATAGTACTTATTGACTTATTTATGGACATTACTTACGTTATCAGCATCGACATAATAATATTGAAGGATTTTGATGCATTCGAAAGTCAAAGCAAAAGTACAAGAATGTTTCGTCACTGCTGAACTCTGTAATTTAAAACTGTATTGGGTGAAAAATATAGGTAAAGTTTGAATTCAATAAAATTATCAATTCTTTTTAAACCTTTGTATATATATATATATAATATAACATATATAAATCAAGATATTTTAAACAATTGTTTTCGTAACTGGACGTCCTTAGTTTATTATGTCGATGGTTACCAGCATTTGTGCTTCAAATTTAAGTAATTTTTAAAGTATGACTTATAGAAAATATTATAATAATTAAAATATAAAATAGTTATAATATTTCCTACGCTTCTTTTACATTATAATCGACATGCTGATGTAAATTCAAAAACTTATATTAAATATGTATTTTCAAGGAATATATATACCTAATTATATTAGTTGTATAAAAGTGTCACAAATTGCAATATAATGTTCCGACAATCTTATATAGGAATATTTAAATTATATAGAACTTATTGCAAATGAATTTTATAGCGATTCTTAATAGGTATTTTGTATGTACTTCAATATCCGTACTGTATTTAAAGTTGTATGTTGGTTAAGAAGTAACCTATTGTAAGGAGAGACATACATATTATGTTAAATATATAAAATTATTTTTAATATATTTGTATTTTTTTTACTTCTACCCTCATTTTATATTTTATAATAAATTTTATTAGGTACCTATATATAACTTAACATTTTTTACAAATTAACCGGTATTTTTAACCCTATTAACAGTACGCTAGCAAACCTAATACATGTACACCCTTGCTCAAAGCGAAAACGGGGCGAATAGCTATATATAAATATATATATAATATAATTTAAATCCATTAACATATTTTATGTTTTCTATTTATTATTCACTTCACTTAGAATTACCTACTTAAGATACGATAATATAGGTGTCACCTAAAATATATATTGTTTCAATATCATGACGACTAAAATATTATGTATGGAATTTAAAAAGTAAATTAATCTGAGAATGATCTATATTCCCCAGTACCTACCCACCTTTTGATCAAATATTTGACATATCTCCTTACTTCCTTTAATTCCTCAGGATCATTAGATCTATCAGAGAATAAGTCTTTACAGTGCGAAGATCGAGGAATTATTGCTGCGGGTCCTTCGTACGACAAATCCTCAAGAATGCCAAGCTTGCTCCACGGGTCCATTTGTCCGTTTACAAAAACAACTTGCGTTACATTTAGATCCAATCCACCATATAATTTGTTAGTTTCAACAACACCTTTCTTTACCATATCTTCATTAAATTCTGAACCGAACAACTTCGTACACATTTTATAATACCAGTCGATTGGCACGTTCCTTGTAAACGGATGATCATCCGAATTTGTGGTTTGAAAATAACTAAACTCAGTACAAGTTTGATAGATCCAAGATAAATACCAATCGATTTTCCTAACACTCTCTATCATACTGTCGAAGTCATAATCAAAACAATTACTTCTCCTATTCCATATAAAGTTCAATTCGTCCGTAACATCTGGGATAAAAGACTTCTGATTCTTACAGTAACGATGAATTCTATCAGGGTCACCATACTGTGCTAGATACATGAAATTCGATGCTTTATCTAAGAAAAATAACTGTTTATTTTCCTCTTTGGACATATCATTTTCAGTACATATCTTTTCATCTCTTTTTAACATTTCAATTCCGTCGTTAGACGAAAAGAGATGTTCGTATTTTTTAAACTTTTCTGATACCTTGTCCCAACAACCAGTAGGCCCATACTCTTCCAGGTCTTCGCTGACAGTCTCCAAATACTCATAAAAATCTAATTTGGCTAAAACAGGTGCGCTACTTGCGATAGCTGCGTCAACCAGTTCAGGATATAACAGCCTCATCCAAGCAGCCAAATTGCCAGCATATGATCCACCAATAACGACAATTTTTGATTCGTTGAACTTGGGTATCGATTTAATACTTGTCAACAATTTTGCATTATCAGCCAAAGCCTGTCTTGAACTTAAATATTTCAAATTCTCAGTATTTGAAATATTTAGAGGCATACTTTTACCATAATATCTATGTTCAGACAAGAACATTGCGCCTTTCGTTTCTTTAGCTAAATCATACATTATTCCAGTTTTTAGAAAATACGAACCTGCAGGGCCTTCTCCGTTCATGAACAAGTAAATGGGGTTACCTGGTTTCCACATATCATGACGTTCAAAGTATCTCATCTTCCACATTCGCTTCTCATTTATGTCGAAATGATCTAATGGGAGATCTATCCAACTAGTTTTTATTGAAGCCTGATCAGAAACCAAAAGCAGTCCAGTACTATTCATTTCTTTTAACACATATCTATAGAGATTTCCAATACTATTAATTCCAAAGCCTTCTGCAATATAAATGTTTAACAGCAAAACTAACTTAAATCTAAGAAAAAACATTTTACCAAAGTAGAAGACAGGATCGCTCAATAGCTTCACCCAGATGCAAATGAGTTAATACGATTTATTGCACAAATGTCAGACATACTTACCTACTAGTATCTATTTACCGACGTCAATTTTACATAAAATATGTTATTATCTTCCTTTAAAATATGTACCTAAATAATTAAAATTTTCGTGTAGATGCCTATGCGGGTTAAATGGAATCCAGTACACTAGAATAAAATTTTTACTATTCCTGTTATTTCATTCGGATTTTGACAACTTATGTTTAAAAAATTAACAATAAACAATATAATCGAGAACCACTTATGTGGGCTACAGACATCTACAGATAGCATCTGTCCAACGATGGTAGAATCTCGTAGGTAAGTATGATTCTGTCATAAGGGAAAGACTGATTTTTTCTAGCTTAAATTGTTAAATTTTATTATAATTATTAAAATATCTCCTAGTAGGTGCAAGCGGTTTCATTCACCTGAAAACAGCTTATGTGTATTGTATAAGTTATATTACAGTAAAGTTTCATTTAAATCCATTCAGTAGTTTTTGCGTAAAGAAGTAGCAAACATCTATCCATCCATACTCATAAATTTTCGTGTTTATAATATTAGTCAGATTAGCAAATTAACTAGAGGCCTACAGTTATACTATTCTCAATCTGAACATCACTATGTAGATATGTCAATCTGAACATAGAGTAAGAGACGCATGCGTAATAACTAGGAATATCATTGTTAGCATAATTGATATAACTAGTGGTCGTTCAGTAGTCAAAATTAGACCAAAAATAATTTAACATTCAGTAAGATTTTAGACAAGTAATATTAAAGACAAACAATATTAGTCTGTTCTCAATTTGACCACAGACTCTAATAATAAACAAAGAGTATATATGCGTAGGTAATATGAGTAGTGTTCTTTTTATTGATTAAATGTAATTTATGCATAATAAAAAAATAGCATTCTGCACTCCTCTATATAAACCACAGATAACAAATTATTACATCATCATCATCATCATCATCGCACTCCACTGCTGGACATAGGCTATATAAACCACAGATAACATAATATTACATAATATAAACTAATGTGTAAAATATAATTCTCCTCCGTCCCCGCAATTTTCGTAAAAAGGGGTACAAGGTTTTTGTTTTATGTATTAATATTATGATGCGAAAGAAGCAGAGCTATACAGGTATGGAACTGATAGTTCAATACCTGTATAGTTGCCATGACAACTGTAAGCAAATACGTCATACCGGTCACCGTTTCCATGGAGATAATTAGCAAACACCGTGGGGTTGAAACGGTGTGGTGAACAATTTTATAAACTTGACCCATATTAGGGTTAAACACACTTCACAGGTGGTTATGGATTTTTTCGAGGACGCCGGAGGTAGAGAGAGTGCGGTCAGACGAAGCGACGCCCCACGACCGGTATCCAGGCGTGGATTCAGAGAATATAAGAACAGTAGTTCAGCTATATCAAGGTACATACATTATATTTTAATATGACTCAATTTGTTTCTTAAAACTCTAAAAGTGTATTATAATTAAACGCTTTGATTATAAAAGGTAAGATGAACGGATAACTAAGTGTCTATAGATCTATTACTTTAATGTTAAGTAAAAATAGTTTTAATAAAAAAAGACGATGTTATTCACTATATTTTTAACGTATGTAACTATATTCTACTGTAGTTTTTGACGATCTTAAATATGTTCTCATGTAAAGATTATAGTCGCGTTTGTTTTTGCAAAATACAAACTAAGTCAATAAATACACGTCAGCCATAGGTCGACGAAAACTGTTATGATAGAAAAAAATATTTTAAATAATTACTACGATAGTCTGCTATCATTAAATTGGTTTTTAAAAAAAACAATGGACAGTAGTAACCATCGCTTATATTTATGAACAGTATTAGTGCCATAAACAAAATACATGCAAATGTATTTTAAGACAACATGCCATTCTTGAGGACTAAAGTGTTATAATTTGTAATTAAAAATTAAATACATTTCTAAAACATTTATTTATATCATTCAATACAATCATCTACCAAAACCATTCAGAACTGGAAATATGAGGCCAACATCAGCATACCGAGGCAGCACAGCCTCACGAATGTCTACAGCAGGATTCGGACCAGCTCCACCGACAGCCAGTAGACAACCAACCGCATTAACAGGATTCTCAATGGTAAGGTAGTGAAGAGAATTTAACAAATGTAAAAAGTAGTATTAAAGAGGAAGGTTTATATATATAATACATGATATGTATAATACCCGTACGAAGCCGGAGCGAGTAACTAGTTATAAATAAAGTGGTAAATGTACTTGATAATATAAATATTTGACAAATAAAAAACATAAGTAGGTATGAAGCATTCGCTACAGAAAAACACGGCGTGAAGATGTAGATCAAGAGCAGAGAAGAAACCTCTCTGTTCTGTGACCTAAATCCTGTAACATCTACATTATCTGTCAATTTAGGAAAACAAAATATACTAGATATTTATTATTTAATAAAGAATCTCGTTACTTGCGTTTTAGTGCAAGTAACGAGATTATTAATCATAAAATAAGCTGCACATAAATGCTGCCTCCAAAACTACCATATACTGGTTATGAACAATTAAAATTAAACAGATTTCTGTATATTTTTATTTAGATTGATAGACCTATAACACAACAAGGAATATCGGGACTCCGAACAGGCACGGCGCGTGGATTCCGCACACGGCAACTGCAAGACAAACGGTATTGGGAAGAGCTCATGCAAGTAAAGATTAGGGAGATGAAAGCGGAGATAGCCCGGTTGAGTGAAGAGGCAGACGCTGGCGAGCGTGAACGTTCTGCTAAAAAACATTATGAGAAAAGAGTGAGAGAGTTGGCCCAAGAATTAACTGGTGAGTTATAAAATTATATAAATAGAGACAGAATTGTCTAACATTTTGCTATATACAAAAACAAAAACAAACTTTCTATATCATAGAATTACTACCTACAAAACAAATAAGATGGACATCCTTATATATTTTGAGCTTGTTAGCTCAAAATATATACAAAATCCAGGCGAGGTACCACCCGAGTCGAGTACGACCGTCAAAAAAATGTTATTTGGATTTAAATATAGATACTAACACTTAAGAGACGTTTATCCATCAGCTTGTTTACCATTCCATCTCAAATTTGAATCCCAATAATTTTGTACTTGTAGATTTACAAGGACGTTTAGCAGATTATAATACTGCTATTCGTATCGCTAACGGTGAAGCTTCAAAGTATTCTGTTGAAGATCAAATGAAAGAATTGGAAGCAAGTAACAAAAAGCTACAAGAAGAGGTAGAACACGTGTTTTTGGAAAAGCAGAGGAAGGAGAATCAGTTAAGGCAACTACGAGAGCAGATGGATAAGGTAGGTACATGTTTTATAATGATAATTCACCTTTGATTAAAGATAAATAAAATATTAATAGTATGTTTTTTGACGAGTAGGAGCAATCAACAATATCAAAGTTATTATCAGAAATGACAACAGAACAGAAAGATCAATATAACGAGCTAGAGACAACAGCTGCTGCATTGCGCGAAGAAGTAGAACAAACAAGGACACAAATTGATGTCTTAAATAGAGAGAAAGAAGAATTTAACAAGGAAATATCTGGCTCGCAGGTTAGTAGTAATAGCATTAAGTTATTGACGAATGTAAACCCAACAAATGCAGGGACAATCTGGTAAAAAACTATGCTATTATTTGTACCAGTTACTAATAATACAATTATATGTATAATGGTGGTCAAATAAATCAAGAATATTATATAATTTATTGATTGTATTTAGTAATAATAGATTAGCTGGATGTATTGCTAGGTATATACTAAAACGTATAGAATACGTTTCAAATCAAACTCAAAATCATGTATTCACATAGAACATCTCGGCGTGTTATGTCATATTATTAATTATTAATCAGAATATATTATACATTATATAGATAAAAGTACATCTTCTGGAGTTACACCGACGACTAGCAACAGCAGAAGAAAAGAGAGATAATTTGAAAAATGAATTGAACAACCGATTAGATCCGCAAGAGGAAAGAGAGAAATTATTGCTTCAGGTGAGAATAAATTCTAGAATGTTGAGAATGTTAAAATATTTCAACATTTAATAACTGATCGTAACTTATAGGTCCGCGAAGATAATGCAGCAATAGCTTCGCTGGACAGTAATGGTGCGAACATAAAAGATCAGATTCGTAAAGTGCAGGAGTTCATCGAACAAGCTGAGCAAGTTAGTATGAATCAACTGTTTTAGTTAAAGTATGCGGAGGAGAAATATCTTAATGAAGTATAAGAACGCATAAGAAGTTCCACGGCAGTGGCAATGTGTTTTATGGTGTCTATAATGATGTACTTCAATTACATTGAACACGTTTACAAAATTTTATACATCATACATTTTTCTTCCATTGATTACTCTAATTCATCCAATTAAATTACTCTTTTATTATATTTAGTCCTGTTAAATGGTTTTCTTTACAGTCGATAAAGTATATTCTCGAATTTATCCAAATATTTGGCTAGTCGGTTTTTCTTTTTAGAACAAATTACAATAATGATTACAGGATTTAGAAGAAGGTAATTCAGAACGTCATCAAAAATACCGCGAACTTAAGAAGAGAGAGGAAACAATGGATTCTTTCATGTCTGCTTATGAAGAAAATCTGAAAAAAGAACAGGAAAAAATAGACCAACTCGAGAAAGATATAGTATTTGCCTTAGAACACAGCAGTTCAAACATAGACCTGGATTTGAGCGAGATTGATACCTTGAAGCAAAAAGAGGGATATACTTCTACATATGATGATAATAAGAGGTCTGCAGACACTCTTACGAAGGACTATGAGAGATTCATGACGAATTTGAAAAAGGTACGATAGAAACTTACGAGTTAGTTTAATAAATAGCATTCAAAAGTATCAATCGGCTGATATGCAAATTAAAATACCGAGTATAAAGGAAAGAGTTCTCAAGGACTATTACTACAAGCAAATTTATGCGATTTTAAACATGTTAGTTTTGTAAATCAAATCAACGAATAAACATCTGCACAAATCAGGAAGAAATTTCAGGGTACTTTTTGCACACTATAGTACATACTTACATAATACAATACCTTTAAAAGTCTCTGCATCAGCACGTGTTTGATACAGAAGTAATTCTGCATACATCGGACAAAATCTTCTTTACTTGTGTAGGTCTTACGTGTCTGTTTTGAAGTATTTTGGTAAATGATACTCGTATTGATTTATAATTTATGATTAGACTACAATTTTTCTTTACTTTATAGGCAGAATCCACACGAGAGCGACTCGCCACTGAATTACAAACATTACCGGATAAAACTAAAGCGATGAAAGATGAACTCGTTACTCTATCCGATTTAGAGAGACTGAGAGATGAAGGTATTATTTCTGTTGTACTGATTATTCTCACCGTATCCTGATTATAAATGAGGATACAAAATGTAAATAATAAGTCGTAACCTTCAGTAGTCCTGTCAGCTGCTTGTTAGAACTCATAAATTGAAAATACTTGGTTTATAGGCCAACTAATAACAATAAGTTTTTTTTTTAATAAATTATTTATTCAATAAAATATAGGTACTCATTTGTGTAGTCATAAGGCAGTAACTTGATATAAACAACCAAATAATTAATAGAAAATTATATAGCATTGTTTTGAATTTTAGAACTATGTATACATTTCTATATTCGTACTGCAATTTTCAGGTGAAGAACAAAAGAAAGCATTGGAAACTGAACTCAAAATATTGAGAGAGAAATTGGCGCCAACTGAAAACGCGGTATCGGAAGCATCGAATAAATTGAAAAAACTACAGGTATCTTGAAATTTATTATCATCATCAATATGACTAGCGTCACGCTTTATTATATAGTTTTCTTAATAATAGGAAGAATAGTAAGAATTATATGATTAAGACATTTTCCTGTGGTTAAATGGAGCCTAGTATTAAATTCCAAGCAGTGCTTTTCACATGATGTGTACAAACAAACAGGCATACATGTAATACCATAAATTATATGTTTGGTTTATGCTGCTATATATACAATGTATATGACATCGGTCTGCTACAATTTCAATACATGTACAGATAGATTTTTTTTTTGTTCTAGACAACGCTAGAAGGCAATGAAATGTATGCGAAATTGAATAGTCTAGAGGAACAGTTAGCTCAACTGGAGAGCAGGAAGACAGTGTTGGAAGAGGACATCGCCTCAATAACACTGAAAGCTGATTACGAGCCACTGAAGAAGCAGACTATGGAAGAATTGGCTGCCCTGAATAAAAAAATTATTGAAGATTTGAATACTTCGAAATCTTATTAATGTTGTTTTATATCGTGTCTTAGATCATAAAGGTTTATTTAATGTAGCTTTTGAAGATATAATAATAAAATTATTATTTAGTATTCAAAATTAGTCATTTCACAGAGATCCATTTATTTCCAAAGTTTAGAATCCATACTACGCAGAAAGGTTCCTAAGCAATTTAATAGAATACTTTAAAAAATATAAATATACATAAAACACTTAGACCAATACAAACAATTATAAACCTTTAATAGAAAATAAATGTTTCTATTATGCAAGAATTGTATTTGCGACCGGACCGCAATCAGCAATAGCGAGGTGTGCTAAACCGCAATAATACTGAAGACAATAAAATAGAAGATATCAATTTTTCTTCTACGTTCAAGCCAGTAATAGACTTCCTTTTAGTTATTTTTGTATAAACATGTGAAACTGAGTTAAAGTTTATAAATCACCCATATCAGCTTCGTTCTTACCTTCCGGATATTTCTCACTCAATCAATTGGGAAAGCATTGGAATATCCTCGATCTAAAGTTCTAAACTTATACTAGGAAAAAAATAATATTGTAACATCATACAATAATTTAATATCACAGACATTAATTACTAATAATTACAAATTGTCCATTTATTTTTGAAATAAATATTCGCACTCTTCGAATTCAAAATCGGTGACTATTTGACGGGTGTATAATATATTCATTTAATATACTAAACCTTATTGTTGAAAGCAAAGTAATTATTGTTAAATAAGTTGAGAAACTTGCTCTATTTGACTAACTAAACATTAGAACATTAACAAAACATTTTGAGTTCGGTCGATATTTTAAGAATGCGATATATTTCTATAAATTAATAGTAACATTAAGAACTCATTATAAATGGCACAACGACGCTGTACTAACTGTCAACACTTGATTACTATAAAACTTAAAGATTTGATGCTTTTTTCTGATGTTTGTCTAGAAGTAAAGAAAGTTCCGAGGGTACAGGTCTGTTGTTTGCCTGGATCAGTGAGCAAATGTTCCGTACAAACTTCTGAGAAGGCGTGACGTCATATTCTTGCATTCTGCTCCAGAGCGCTAAAGCATCTGTGCAGTTGTCTTCGCGTTCTGAAAATGCAATAAGCTATGTTACTAGAGTTTGAAAATATATCACCAACCAACCTCACCCGGATCGCAATTCATGTATTAAGACAAATTCACATACATGCTTTAAATTAGCTTCAATTATTAAATCAGTAAATAAACTAGTTTTTAAAAAAATATCTGTTGAGTATCTTGCCAGTTCTTTCAATTGAATATGTATACTGAACTGGACGGTAGGGAAAAAATTTTAATACAAATAATTTTATGTTTATAAGCCGCTAAATAGTCGTACATGAATAAATAATTTTTGATTTGATGATTATAAAAGTTGAAGCGGTTGAAGTAACATATTATAATTAGGATAAAATAACTTACGGTACACATCCAACATGAGCTCATAAATTTCGTCGACGTCGACATGCCTGAGGTCTTTAGCGCATTGGGCGATAGTCTCCAACGCGTCCACCTTCCTCTCTTCAGCGAATCGTTCGCAGCGACGATGCAGCGCGTCGGGGTGAAACTTCACAGTAGGATCCAAGAATAATTTGCGTAATGTCTTCTTGTAACCGACATCGGCGAGCGCGGCGATTAGACTGAGCTGAAATTATGCAGTTTTCAACCAAATGCCAAAGTATTTAGGTATTGTTTTCGGTTGATGTAATCAGGATCTTTCGCACTATGTGTAGTATATACGACTTGTACGAATATCAAAGAAAGAGATTTTTTTTTATTAGATTGTCTATTGATATAAACATATTTCTATTTCATTCTACCAACAAGGATAATTAGTTTTTGAACATAGTTTCAACGTTAATTTTTTTTAAATGAAATAAACATTTTTCGAATTAAACCTAAAAAAGTTACCTGAACATCGCCAGGACCGTGCACTTTTTTGTCAATGTTTAAAACAGTCTGAGCTAGTTTATTAAGTCTGCTATTTGATTTTTCATTCGTAATGAAAGTTTCCTCTGATTTCCCGTCGCCCATTGTCTTTAATATGGCACAGATCAATTCATGTTTCAGAGGTGTTTTGTTATACTTTGATGCCAACCTCGAAAACTCGTTCACTGCTTCTTGGAGATTGTTGCTGTTGAAAGAACAGTTTATTGTCAAAGAAATGTGGGATAACCCCTTAACATGTAACATGTCCCAACCAGTGTTTCAGAATGGGACAGTCTATTTTACAAACAATTGCCTTCACAACTCCACATTTCAGCTCTACTAACAGAATAGAAAATAATTTATTCAAATAAACTTCATTTATGCACTTTTGAATAGTCTACATTTTTTTTAAATATACCGCTTATTCGGAAAGCTGTCTCATCACAAGAACAATAAGCAAGAAACTTGTGTGTTGCTCTTTTAAACAATCCTTGTAAGTTCACATTTTACAAGTCGAAACGTGTGAATACAAGCTACCAACCAGCACTAATTTATTTAGGATCAAATATAATAACACAATTAAGATTAAATCAGTCGTAGTGATAAGAGCAGTCCCTACAAGCAGCACTCGTTCACGAGTATGACGGTGATCCAGCCATCACTGCGCTCGACCATATTTTAGGAAGCCCAATGATCCAGCCCACCACGCCGCCACATGTTTGGACATTTTAGTGAGCATGACTACTCATTCCACTCGACCTGGTCATAGCTACTTAAATTGATTATATGTACACTGTAATAGGTTACAGTATTCGCACTTTACGTAAGGATGCATGCGACAATCAATACAAAAGCCACTACGCTATCATATTTCAAGAAAGCAGTATGAAAAAGAAATTATAACATGATTTGCACAGTTACAAAAAACGTATGTACGTCATCTATGAGACGGAAAGGTATATATGACTCATTGTATTTATACTATGACGTCACACGAAAAATTTTTATGACTAAATATTTAAAATCATATACTAACTTTTTTAAGTGGACGCGTATCAATGGACCTAATATCACATTAGAAGGCTTGCAATACCGCAACGAAGCAAGCAACTCGAACATTTTGCGAGCTTCCACGTGGGAGCCGTGTGCCGCAGTTGCGTCCAACAACCGCCAACAGTTCATTGATACACCGCGACCACCCACTATACGCCTGCAAAAATATTAAATGTATCGTTAATAAATTGAATATTTTAAATTATGTAAGACTGAGAATATAATAAAACTTTAAAACAGTGTAGAAACTCCTTAAAGAATAATCATTGTGAAATTACAAATAAATAAAATTGAAGTGTCTTTGTAATTTCAAATAAACAGCTTTTCACTAAACGCCTAAGAAATTATATACGGTCAAACAATTAATTTAATAAAATCTTTGTCTGTCTGGCTGTCTGTTTGTTCTTGCTAATCTCAATAACGTCTGACCGATTTTGACTAGACTTTCGCTTGTAGATAGCTAATGTTATAAGGAGTAACTTAACTTACTTTGATTTTAGAAATTTTATTTATTTTAGTAATAAAAAATAGTAGGTACTACAATCAAATTATAAAACAGTACATTGCATCGGGTGAAACTATGAAAAAATAATAGAATACAATATCGGCACATCATCAAGTGACCTGAACACTTTTATTCATTTTTTCTTTGATTAGAAAAAATAAAATTTGGAAAAATATTGTTTTTATCATTAAAAAACTTATTGTAATATTAATTTGTTTTTTTTATAATTGAATTATTTTTTATAAAAACAATATGCGTATTTTATTTATACGTCTTACAGTAACAAATTTAGAGTAAATTGTCTTTAATTTGTAACTAAACACAGTGGTGCTGCTATATGAATATCCATCAATATAGGTCTAATAAAATGTTTACCTCTTTTTAGACTCTTCGTCAATCAGTTCCATTGCTTGATCAATCTTCTTTCTGTACACCATGAGAGTAGCAAAGTCTATGACTTTGTATTCGTCCAGAGTGAAGTTAGGGGAAGATTTGTTCAGATCAGCGAGTGCTATCTCAGCGAGGTCCAATTCACCCAACTTCACATGTAGATCAAATATTGCAGCTTTCATGCCCGCTGAGAGAAACACCTAGACAAAAATTGTTTAAAGGAAATTATATATAATAACCATTAAAAAAACTGTACAAAATATTATAATAGAATTTTAACTGAAATTAAACTAACTTACAATCATACACTACACTTACGAATCATAAAATATATTCTTACTTGCTTAGTCATTAAGATTACTACATATAACAAAAAGTCGCAGTCAATTATTGAAAAGTAAAACCAAAAGAAAAGCGGTAGAAATGTGATATGTCTTTGAATTAAGTAATATTTGCAATTTATTTTGAATTATACACTGAATATCAAAAATATCGGCGGTACTGATAAATTAAGTATATTGTGTATTATAGTAATAATACATAAAATAAATTTAAAAAAACACAAGTATCTTTTTAGTTTATTACTTTATTCATTACATAGAAATATTTAGATTTTTTTCTATTTATAACATTCGAATTAAATTAGTATTATTTATAAAATAGAAAACAACCACTCACCCCTTCCTTCTGGCACTTGTCTGCTACCTCTCTGGCAGCGGCGAGGTTACCTTCTTTGCAATACTCTTGAAGCAACCTCCTAAGTACGCCACGTGTATTCATACCCTTAGCTTCTAATTCGCTAAGGTGTGCTTTCAGGGATTCTTCATTCATATGTTTCTACAAGGTTAAATATTATAATTAACAATGGTAATTGAATACACAGCATAAAACATTTCTGGTTGTGTTTTTTTTAATTGGTTTGTCAAAAACATGACGTCCCACCTGATAGTAAGTGGTAACTATCACCTATACACATGAACTGCATTATGGATATCATGCTATCATGAATCCGTGATCGTGACAACATTCATGCGTTACCATTCCAGAGAACTAAAATGTCATGCCTCTTATCTTAATTATTTTTTCTCAATTAATTAATTTAATTTCTTAATTAATAATAATTATTAATTATAATTTATTAAGGAATAATTAAATCCTTAATAAATTATTAATTCTTAATCTCCACCCTACACGTGAAATACAGCTTGTATTTATTATTGACATATATATTATTAATCCAAACTATTCCAAATTTAAATTGGTTATTGTTGTTTGCCATATAGACAGGCAAAGGTTTTAGACCACACAGCCAGTTCTTTGCTTGAAAACGAAATGACAAATAATAATGAAAGAAATTGCAAGTTTTAAATGTATCACATTAGGATGAAATTATATCATCCCATAATCATATGAAGCTTGAATTTAAAAAAAAAAACTATTTTGTAGACAAAGTGTTGAATATACATATATAGGATAGTATAAAACAGGCACAAGAAACTTCAAAAGTAAGCAGAGTTTGTTAGGTAGCGGGACAAATCATAAACATATAGGTATGTAACTACAAAATATGAAATGGTAGTAAAATATATTTTATCGAATGTAACATATTATTTATACATAAAAGCGATTAATCATGAATACAAATATGTATTACTCGGGAATATAATCCAATATCCTCAGTAAGTAAAACTGTTAGACCACTGGTGGTGCAGTTCTTGTATAATATTCAATACAATTGTTATATCATATAGATATGAATAGTACTTACTGGATGCGGCATCTGTTGTACAAACATTTCACCCTCATCCACGATACGCTCATCAGTAATCTCAATTAAACTGTCTCGGAATGTGTCAATGATGTCCTTGCCATGCTTCTCTGGTAGTCGACTAATGCAGTAATCGGCTGCTGGCGTAGATATGTTGATACCTGCTGCTTTTATTGCCTAAAAAATGTAACTCTTTTTATGAGAACACGTCAATTTTTGTTACAAATACAAACAATTCAAATTGAGAAATTAAAATAAGTAAATAAAGATAAATTGGTCACGCGCTAGACATGTCTCATAAAAAATTATCTGGGTATTTTCTATGTACTTAAAAGAAAATTAAGTATTTAGTCTGTTACACATAACACAAGCTGTTTATTCTATTTAACTACATGACGCTGTGGCAATTAATTTTATTATTAAACTACCTGTGCCCACGATTTTACCCGCGAAATGAATAACTTGTGTTATCCCTATGTCTAAGCTATATTATTGTAAAGTATATTTAAAATACATTCAGTTGTTTTTGAGTGAAAAAGTATCAAACAAACATCTATCTACACTCACAAACTTCCAAGTTTATAATATATTAATATTATTAACCTGGAAGTTTGTGAGTGATGATGATTTGTGAAGATGAATAGATTGATTATTGGTATTATTATTATTATTATATGATATTATGATGAATATATATCAAATAATGAAATATTAAGGATAAATACAAATAGAACAATGTTTTTACACGGTATCCCTAACAAACAATCTGTGAAAATAAAACAATAATCACCTTAATCAGCTCCAAAAAGTCAGATACGTCCTCCAAAACCCTCTTATTTTGCATGAAGACACATAAAAACCTGCCAACCCAATCTTTATTTTTATCTCCGGCCTTCTTTGTAACATCTTCTAATATGTGAATAGTGGATTTAACATCAGAAGTCGTTAAATAACCTTTTAGCATGGGTTTCAATATCTTCTCAACATCAACTTTACCTTGGAATAGCTCACCTAAAATATAACCTTATATAAAAATTTCCTGCGTGGCACTCCTTGAATAATCCTTTACAGGGTTGCCAAACTCGTAATGCGAAAGATTTGTTACAAGCTCTTAGCCTAATACGACTTGGTTTTCTAAAAGTTTAGAGAACCAAGTCGAGCGAATATACGAGATTTTCTCAGATTTTTTTCTTTAATGTACAAGTACATTATAGGGTTTTGATCTATCCATTTACAATCTTATACCACATAGCACGAGGATCCTCGTACGGTGGGCATAACTGATGCATTATCTATAGCGTAAACAACTTGTGCCGAGTCCTGGGTTAAACCAATTGACATTGAAATAGGTATTGTTATGTATTGTATAATTATTCCTTTTCCTGTTATTTTTTTTAATTGTTATGCTGATAATTCAACATGATTTTAAATATTAAATTAATTTGTTAATAAATAACATAGAGTAAATCATATTTTTTCCCTAACAAATTTTGCATGCATATGACATGACATTAAAAAAAAGAACTTTATTCTTGCCTCAATCATAATCCTAATCTTCTTATACATAAAATTCTCGTGTTACAATGGGTATGTCCACCCCTAACATTATTTTTTGGGAAAATTTTTTATTTATATTTTTATTAATTTTCACCCTTCTTTCACCAACCCCTATTTTTTTATAGCATTATTAATATATATGGCGAAACAACGTTTGCCGGGACAGCTAGTATTATATAAATGAAAATGTTTAAACAATTATTGTTTCTTTGAAAATTTTGTACATTGTACTTACTATTGTACATGTACCATGTCAGCCTGACCTCCACATGGTAACCATCGTGATAAATTCATTCATAATGAATGTGCATACTGACCACATGTCATTCTCATCTTATCTCCACTGGTGCTCCGCCAGCGTAAACCGTTAGCGCAGGCAGGAGCACCATTCCATTATCATCAATAAGAAAAAAAATACATGGTCATGTGAATGAGACCAGTTGTTGAAGTTAACTATACTATAAAGTTGTCGGACAAAATAAAACTACTTACAAATCTCGCTAGCAGCCCTAACTTGTCCCGTGTTCAAGAGTGTTACCATCATAGGTGTAAGCACTGTGCTAACAGTAAGACCTGCATCCTGAAACTTTTTCATTAGGTTTTGAGGCGAGGTGAAACTGACATATGGTAATGAGTACTCCATAATCGTGTCGTAATCAGGCTTCACTTCCATGGTAACCATAGTTGAAAGTGTATTCATGATACCTAAAATAAAAATAAAATTAATTAATTAATTAATCTAAGATAAAGTATATTTATGACCCCGGTACTGGATAATAACCGTATGTATGGAGGAAGTATGAAAGTGGCACCGATGTCAGAGAGCTTGAAGAGTAAACGTCAATCATGGTATGGACACGTAATGCGTAGGAATGAGGATAATATTTTAAGAAAGGTGTTACATATGAATGTGTGGATGGTTATAAGGGCAGAGGAAGGCCGGAAAAGAGACGGATGGACTGTGTGAAAGATGATATGGTAAGAAAGGAAATAAATAACGCGATGACTGCGAACAGGGATGAATGAATATTAAGAATAATAATATTATTATAATATTATTTGAAGAGAAAAATATATTACGCCGACCCCAAATAAATGGTATAAGGAAAAAGCAGATGATGATACTGGATAATAACCCCATTGCTAGCAATGTATGGTACATCCAGTCAGGTTGACGTCCCCTGGAGACAGCCCAGATAAATTAATGGTGAATTTACCACTATGGCCCAACTGACCTGACCTTATGCTCATCTTATAATCCACTGGCCCCTCCAGCCCAAACCATAAGTGCAGGTGGATACACGATTCCATTATCGTCCATAAGACCCCAATACTAGACTATGCCTGTATAGTGTAAGTCAAAGCACAAAAAATGTAATTTTTTATGCTTTGACTTACACAGAAACAATAGTAGTAATAGTAAAAAAAATCTATGTGAATGTTTGTCTGTGTATACATGTGAGACAAATGTGGATATGAGAACAGACACATCCCATACCATACAATTCCTTTCGTTCATTTTATTTCGTATTGAATTTTATATATTTCCCATATAATGTATGTACACATGTACAATCTATAAATAAATAGAGATTAATTCATAAATTTCTAAACATGTCTTATACTATATCAATATGTATATAAATCTTGGCATGAACATTCTAAAAGTATTTGATACACATTATATTTAAATTAAATTCATATATAGATAACTAACTCTACTTACCTTTCTCCCCGTAACTTTTAGAATTATGCAACAAAATAGGCCAAAAATAATGAGGCCTGATTGGCATGCCCAGTTGTTTCATACGCATAAACAAATCTAGAGCAAGTGGCACTTTGTTCAATTGCAACGCGGCCTCCGATGCGTTATGCAAGGCTATTGGGTTCCTCCCAGACGACATTAGTTCCTGTGTTATAAGACCGATGATACTTGATGGCTGGAAAGTAATTATTATTATTAGTAACTGATATATAAGGTATAAAATCGGCACGTTTAGATGCTATAAAGTATAATATTGATGTTAGCGTGCTTCATTTTGTGTTGTAGTTTCGATAAGGAAACATTGCATATGTCTGTACATAGTGATCTATGTATTAGACCTATGTATATATGTTAAAGTACCCCCACATTTTTAAGTAAGTATGAGTATCAATGGATGGAGGATTAAGGGTAATTGAATTTCTCTTTTGTATAAAATTGGAACCAAATTCACTATATATAGATATGTACAGAAGAAACATAATAGATATAAGAAATCAGCGTGGTAAACATAGAAGGTTTAAAAATGTCTAAAATTTTAACATATTTTTTTTAATGCTTGTTTACGCTTATTTAAGAGTTGAGGATTTTGAGTGCAATAAAAATCGGAATTACTTGGCGATTATTCAATTAATTTAAATTAATTATAAGTAATGCGATCGTTAGCGAATATTTGAATCTGAACGTATAACCGTTGACGTTTTGTCTCTGGCCCGCTAAAACCCCGGCACTGCAGTGTTGCAGTCTTAAAAATAGGTTTTGGGCCACATATTTATATAACCGGGTCTAAATAGCTTAAATAATATATATATATATATATATATATATATATATATATATATATATATATATATATATATATATATATATATATATATAAATATATTAAAGTGTTATAAAATTCTATATAATATATATAGAATTAAAATACTTACTATTGAAGCTTTAACGCAGTCCCTAACCAAACTTCGTCCGTGTAATCCTTGATCATCCTTAGGCCCAAACGAAGGCAGTGGCAAACATTTATATATTTCCAGTGCGACAATTGGATGGTTTTGATATACTAGTAAAGTTGCCACACTTTGCATGTAAGGAGAAATGGATGGTGTCTTAAGGGTTTCTTCGGGGAGATGACGCAAAACCTGCATAATATATCCATATTAATATTGTAATTTTGAAAGTGTGCCTAGTTGTTACTGTTTCACTGCTCAACAATTGAACTGTTCTTTTCATGAACCAAATCTGTATATGAAAATAGGCTATAAAACAGCCTTATTTTGTCAAGACTTTTACTCACAAATAGCTAAATAATGTTTTAAGGAGTAAGTTAGGCTACTTTTATATTAACAAAAAAAGTTAAATTTCACGCGAACTTAGTCGCGGATAACAGCTACTACTATTGATTTTCTGAATAAGGGGAAATAAAAAGCCAAAATATATATACTATTATTTTCATAAGTACAGGTAATTATTACTATAGACAAAACAAAACAAACATTTACCTTTGCAACATACTCATAAGATCCAACAGCTGCTAATGTCTTCACGATTTCCATAATATGTATTTCACTAAATTGTAGACCACTAGTCTTGGTTTTATCCATCTCCTCGTATAAGAGTTTAAATTGCTTATTGTATGCCAGAGCTCGCACCTTTGCCAGACATGTTTCTAAAGAGTTCTCAAGCTTGAGAGATTTCATCATTGACACTACCTCTTGAATATTATTAAGATTGCTAGAAATGTTATTAATTTTCTTATCTGATATCAAATTAATTTTCGTTAATATATTTAAATAAAAAAAGAATGTTTATTAAAAATATAAATATTAAAATGATTTAATTGATAATGTGGAGATAGATTTAGAATAGTATATATATAATTATCTAATATTTTAGAATAATAAACACAGCGCCATCTAGCCCCAAGCAAAGCAGAGCTTGTGTCGTGAGTATTAGATAACTGATATAAACAGTTACTTTTATTCTTAAATACATACATAATATACATAGACCAATACAATCATACTTATGTACAAAAATGTTTTACCGAGGAGTGGAACCCACAACCATTAGTAGTAATATGGTGTGCTATATCTCTACACCAGGCCGTCGATATATAAATATGTACTCATGCAATATAATATGTAATAGCTGACTATGCATACTATGCACTCAATACTTTAAACGTGTGCATTTTTTCTTATATAGTGACGGACTACCTGATGAAAAGTGGCCACAGTCCCCTATATGCGTAATCCATTCAGACATGAATAATATGGAACAAACGTTCAAATTTAAAAGATTCCAAAACTGCGATTTATCATTATGCACTAAACAAAGATAAAATAATAGTGCCTTCAAAATGGGCATTTAATTAAAAGAATAGTAATAAAACCTTTAAATATAAATAAAATTGGAGTGTCTGTTTGTAATGTTGAAATAACCATTTTTTACTACATGCATATGAATATAATTACAAGTACATACACCAAAATTACATTTTTACAATTTTTGTCTGTCTGTTTGTTCCTGCTAATCTCTGAAATGGCTGGACCAATTTTGACGGGACTTTTTTTGGCAGGTAGCTGATGTAATAAGGAGTAACTTAGGCTACTTTTACTTTATAAAAATTATTTTATTTTAGAAAAATAAAGTTAAATTCCATGCGGAAGAAGTTGTGGGAACAGCTAGTAAAGAATAAAAATGTAATTTAGCTAAACAAACTCAGGTCTGAAAGAATTAAGCAGCACTACAAGCATCAATGGGTGTCACAATGTATTATTGTGACACCCATTGTAAATGCATCAATACAAATTTTTAAAACAATAACATATTCACAAACAAATATCAAGTATTCTAATAAATAGTATTTTTTACTGATAATGGAACAGTAATAGGAATAACTAAATTACCCAGCTTTTCCTTGACAAATGATGAGTGAATTAAATATACTTTCCGTGGCTGGAAGACTTTGTGCTTTCATATTTGATATTACTTCAGTAGCTTGATTAATATCACCAGCCTGTAAAGTAAAATATTTGAGTTATTAATAATTGCATATATTACTTTTATTTAAAAACGATATTATAATTTATTTATCAATATGTACCTACTGGCTATAAGTTATTTCAAATAACAACAATATTATTTTATTACTTATTAATAAAAAAATCCCAACTTACGATTGTATTTTCCAGTTTAGAGGAGAGTAAAGGAAGTATTATTAATTCAAGAACACAACATAACATAACATAACAAGTAAACAGCATATTCAAAATTTAAAAATTAGGATTGCCAGATAATAAATTCAAATAAGTTTAAACAATTAGCACAGATAGATAGGCTACCATATTTAAATTCATTTGAAGAATTATTAAATTATTAATTATTGTAATGAGATTTACCTCTCCAAGTGCTCTTATTATTAGTTCATATGTAGTAATATTTGGTTTTGAAGGAGCCATCTGACTAATGAAAGAACTGGCTGTGAGTGTCCTATTATTAGCTATATAAACTCGTAGCAATTCATTATAATGTTCCACATAAAATTTTGTATGAGGCCTGCAAATAAATTATATTATCTTTTACAAAATTATATTATTTTTTTAGTAGAAATTTGAAACTTTTTTGGGTTATAATCTAATATTTTCTTTATTTGGTCAAAGTCACTAAGTTTTAAATAATTGTATAAAAACTAAGCAGGGTTGTAGCCCCAAATTACAGGCACTAAATAGCTTAAAGACACATCACAATACTTTTATTTTGTACACATCAGAATACAAAAACAATGTGTCTATCCAAGTATCAGTAATCTAGTAGCCATAGTGTAAGACCTGCTTAGATTGTGATTAAATGGGCCTTTGTGAGTTGTCCAGGAACTGAAAATGTATTTTGATAACTTATTTTACACAGTGGAATTGTTATTTATTATGATACTGATTCACTTTATTCCACAGGACCAATCACCAATAATATCATAGACCATAATGTAACATCTTGCTATTTCAGATTACTATATTATAGAAAAAAAAGTAAAAGTGATAAGGACCAGATATCGGGGCTGCTTTGAAGCCGGTGAAACAACTGCTCACATAATCCTGGAGAGCAGTAGCCACACAATTAAAAAAATCCTTGGAACGGTGCGGTCACTCCGAAGCCTGTGAGAACACCAGGAGACTTCTGCGCTTCTGGGAGGAGCTTGGCTGGTTACTTTAATAGCCTGGCTCTACACACACAATGGCCCAGATGAGAGACTAATTGCAGAGAATGGAGTCCAACTTACATTACATTACAAGGACCAGAAATTTGATACATGTACAATAAACAGATTCCATTTGTGAAGCAAATCAACATCAGTCATCCACATAGTTCAAAGGAATAGAAAACTAAAAAATATGACTTGGAAGAAAACTACCTGAATATTGGAATCACAATCTTCAAAATCAGGAAATAAAATATATTTTTAGTTTTATATATATTACTATTTATTAACTTACTTAAGTGTACTCCACACCAGTTCTACTAAAGCCATTCTTGAGGCACTTGATTCATCGGGCAACAGTTCTGTACAACACCGAATCAATTGTAATCCTTGTTTTTTTGTTGAAAAGTTGAATTCCTTGACTTTGTTGATCACTTTCATTAAATCATTTTTGTACACCCTATTCTTCTGATGTATATCACTTGATAAATTAGCAATAAATTTTTCTAATACTTCTTCAGACGACGTAGACCTTAGAGGGGGCATTTTTTGCTTTTGATCATTTGTTTTGGTAGAATATTGTACATTACTTTTTAATATAATATTGCCGGATTTTCTTGTGGACACGACATTACTTATTGTTCTGAAGATTAAAATTGCTTTATAATAAATATATCCAGATAATGATAGTGGATAAGGAGCATGAAGGTAAAAAATATAATAACCTATATATTTGATAGCGGCATGGGCAGGGTGATAGCTTCTGTTTTACAGAAATGTTTTTACATGATAGTACTCTAGAACTAATAATTTTTAAATATTGCCTAGTTGTAAGCATTTTATTTTCTAAGAAAATATTAAATTTTTATATAAGGAATTTGGTTTTCAATATATTTGTTTTCATAATACAGTGTTATAAAAATGACATTTTGTCAATTTAGAAACTAATGTCATATATCTTTCCGATCTGTAATGTCATATCTGATGTTCTATAAAAAGTACATTGTATATAATATAAAAAAAATTTAATACTCTGTGTCCGAGTTGTATTCATAGAAAAAGAAAGGACTAAATCATCTTAATTCTGATAGTCGTGATTAAGATTACCTATTTGTGATGCAGATAATGTGAAGTAGTAATTTCTTCTACCCTATTTATTCTGTTTGTTAAAATTACTCCAATACTTTCAAATATTAATGGACGAATAGGTATATATGAAGAGTTCGTATGTACAATTGACCGTTAATTGAACAGTCTTATTTCAAATATAGGCGAACGTATGGGGGAACCAAAAAATAAATTAAAACTCATCTGTACTATAAATGTTCTGCTGATAATTAGGTATACTTGTCTTAGATATTGTCTTTCCCTCACTCGGTATCTGCAAGAAATGTTTCCCATATTTGTTTTATAGTGTGTAATGTATTTTATTACTTGTATGTATCATTAGTTAATAGAAATAATTATCAAATGTCAAGAAAAACAGATTTAATTACATTGTCTTAGTGAAAATTTGACTACTTTAGTTGACAGCTTCTGCGTAACTTTTCCAGACACGTGGCGCTAGTGTTGTGTTGTTTTACTTGCTTATGGTTTTTGATGTTTTGTCTATATGTCGTCTCTAATCTTGCTTGTGTTGTGTCATGTCAACCGTGTATGTGGAGTGTTTTGTGTTGTGAGTGAATGTAGAATTTTCGCGATTAATCGTTGTCATGTGGTAAGATTTTAAATTTTATTTATAATCTAGTGTTTGATCAATAATAACAATATATAATTAATTGGCCGTTCGAAATTACATTTAAAATATGACGAATTACCGTCATGATTGGCCGTTACTTGACCGCCATCGCCCAAGCTTGCCGACGATATCGGCACCGCCTTTTCTGCAGTTCGTGACAATATCACATTTTTTTTGTAGATATGAACAAAAAGTCTAATTCCTCATCTTGTTGAACTTCTTAGCCGGAATGCAAGTGACGACCTAACCTTGACGGAACTTGCTCCCTTTAATTCTAACCAGTTTTCTGCGATTTCCAACTTAGGTAATACTATTTTCGCTTCGTTCTTGCTGATGATTCATTGTAATTTGTTTGTTTAAGGGATTCCCATTTAAATTCAATTGTTACTTTTGTGTGAAACATGGTTATTTTAACTTTATAACTAGTTTAAGGGTACCCAGTAATTAATCAGAAAATTACTTATTTTTAAATAATTTGTAACTAAATATATGATACTCTTACCCTTATATTTATAACATAATATGTCTTGGTTGGCTCTTATCTTCATAGTTAGCTTGAGAGTTGCTAGATTGACTATTACTTTAGATAGATAAAAAATATAATTTATTTTGATGTTATCTCTGTAATTATGCTACCACTAATAATTACACTACCTTATCTGTGTTTGTTTTACATCAGTTTATTCTCTTGAGTGTTTTTTTTTTCTACTGTAAAATAATCACACACAGTTTTAAAATGTAGAATGAAGAACATTTATTTTAAATCAGCAGTGTTTACTTAGTGCAGCAACTTGCACAGTCTAGTAAATTATGATGTGTGTAAAACTGTCTATCTTATTTTAGGATATTATCTGTATGTGTACCAAATTAATTTGAAATAGTGTAGTAATTTTACTACTCACATGTTGTTTTTGTGCAGAATATCAACAAATACAAACACTGCAATAGTAGAGACGGTGTAATGGCCCATGTCAGCTTTTAGGAATAAAATTATGGTAAAAAAAACATGGTGTGTACTTTATGTGGAAAAGTCATCATTTTAACAATTTATATGAAAGCATCAATTTGGATATTGTTATATTTTGTTGTGAAAGGTATATTACTGGCATTTCATAGTTAATGGATCAGTTGCTGTAATGTAAATTGTGAACTTGGTTTTCTTTATTATAAAAGCAGAACTGTAAGTTCTGTCTTGCCATTTAAGTTTAAAATACACAGACAGTAAAATGTTGCCGTGCCAAGTGTAGTATTCACCATGATGACAACACTTGATAATCTTTCTGCTTAATAACACCCATGAAGCTAATATATTGTTAGCATATAAATTATTTTACAATATAACAATAATAGGAACTTCAAAACATTGTCTTGACTTTATCTTTATCTTCCATTATAATTGACACAGTATGTGAAACTCTCTAATGTGTTTGTTTTTAAATTGATGTTAATGCAATGGTGGAAGATGATAAGATGAGCATGAGGTCATGTCAGATTCACAGTTACTTATAATCAGGAATTTGTAATAATGGCTTCCAGGGGGAACTACATGGTGGTCTACTTGACATGTTATGTTGCTAACAGTAGGTTAAGAAATCCAAATTACTAACAATTCCCTTACTTTGATCATTACCTGTCAGTAAGTTGATTAAGTTTTACAGAATCAACACAATCTCATATAGTTGGAATATGATATTTAATCAATAGTGCCTACTTTTAGTTATAAACATCTTACTTCTTAAAAGTTATTTTGTTTCTATAACTAGTGTTGTGATAAATGATTAAAATTAAAATCTTGTAGTGTTGTAAATAGATTTATATTTCAATAATCCAAAAATAAATATTTACATACATTTTGCAGCTCATAATTGTTAGGAATTTATAACTTTACAAACAAAACTACTACAACTTACTACTTTTCTTAAAATATATACTCTATGAAGAAAAACATGCTTAATGTTTTTTATTCTTAAAAATGTGTCATAAGCATGAAATGTAACTTTTAATAGATATGTATTAGAAAATGCATTTATTCTGTCATATTGTATACATTGATACTAATTGAAATTTATGATAGCTACTAAAGTGTGTAAATTATATCCTAACCAATTGACACATTTACCTACTTAGTTATCTTTATCAATAACAATTTAGGCGCTGACTTATGTTATCTAAGTTTATTCCAACATTAATTAGGCAGAAAGGAAGGCTGTCAGAAACTTTTGTTAAATCTATTTATGTTATGATATCATGCCTTTGTACACCTATGTTGTATGTTATTTATATACGTAGGAAGCTATGGTGCTGTAGAAAAGAAAATATTTGAAGATATTATAACATTCTATACTTACATGTTGAAATCTTTGATAATTTATTATTTATTTGTACCCAAAATAGAGTATGCATTTACACATTATATAGGTGCATACAAAATTTAATTACATTGACTGCAAAATGACTTTTATATGAATTCATTGTTCATATACAATTTTCCTTGCCAGTGTAATTTATACTATGAAAACATTTTATACTGAAAAGTTTAGTTAGTCATCAACATAAATCATTATTTTCTGAGTATATATGTACGCTAGCTTTGAAATATTGTGTACACAAATTTAATAATATACTTTGTGTATAGTATTGGAGTTATAAATTTGCAATCACTTTAAATATAGCTTGCATATCAGTGTCATAGTAACCACATATGAACATTCTAGTTTATTCACTAGACGGTATGATAATACATGTATTCAATCCTATCCCACTTATTTCTTCACATTGCCAAGCCAAGGGTCAATGGAGTGAGAATTGATGCCAATTAGGACGTTTTGTGGTTTACTGTTGTATTGTATATGCAGAACAAAATTTGAAATGTGAGAATAAATTAAAATATACCTTCACGAATCTAATCATAGATGAGGTAGTCAAGAGGAACAACATCATGAATGAATGACATTATGGTATTAACAACATTATCAGGGTAACCTAAAAGTTGATATTGACCTATATTTTGAATGCAATATGGCAATGGCAAACCTATTTAGATTGTTTCCATCGACGGAAAGTTTGGTGAAAGAAATAGGAAAATTTGGTGTTTGTCAGAGTTGAACTTTAAGGTCAAGTCATAGACCGCGAAGTAGAAATATTCCGGAAAATATTATATAATATAATAATAATCTTTATTTACTGCTCACAAGGAAACTTACAATATTGACAAAGCAACAAAAGTATGTATTTAATCTTACAAGCTATTCCTTGTGAGAGTCTGGAGTCTGAACATATATTATAAAAACTTCGCGAGCTAAGCAAAGGGACATAATAAAACATGTATCGTGACAAATCCACTGAAGACATAAATACATAAATAATAACCAATTATATTTGTTTTTGCCGTTTTATGGCTGCTATAATTATTTTTATGGAATGTTGTAGCTCCTATAACAGAAACTAGTCGATATCGACACCATGAGGTAGTATGAGATACCATTCTCGTGGCGAATATAATTCTTCTGGATCTTTCTCACCTAGAGACTAATAAAATGCAGGTAGTAGTAATGGGCAGTTAATATAAAGTCTAAATTTTGGACAGTGTAGACTTAGATTCTAACGTCTAAATTTTAGACATTAACTTTAGAAGTAGTACTTCATTAAATCCTAGAAATTCATTAATTTCATGGGTTAGGATCTTGTGATTTTTTATTTGGTGATGAGTCTGTGAATCTCTAAATATCAATCAACCCTCCTTTTTTTTATTGTTTGTACATAATTCGGCATATAATCAAATCTGAGTCGTATTAGCGATTTGCGGCTGTGAATACTGTGATAAGTGCTTAAGCGCAGGGTCTCGTTTGTCATCCATGACGGTACGATGCGGCGGATGGCAACCAATCTAAAGAATGCGGCACAAGTAATACACGCCCAGCGTAATACTGTTTATACAAACGAGATATTTGACCATGACAATATTATTAAAGAACTTCCGATATTTAGACGTGGTCGAACTCTTTATCTTGGGAAATATCTCGTTCATATACCTACTGTGAATAATTGTAAATAACCGTGAAAAAGTTTATAACATTATTTCACGTAAATGGAAGAACGGTTCTTACTTCTTTAAAATACTGAAATAAAATATTTAATATAACCTAAATGTCTTCAAATAGATGTAAATATGAAGTAACCATACTTAAACATATTTGATGGAACGGGAGCCATAAGAAAGTGTATTTTTTAATAATTTATGACTGTTAAAAAGACCCCGATATACGTATAAGAAAATTTGTAACTAAATAAAATAGGCTTTATAAACGATGACAATTTATTTAGTACATTTAGTTAATAATTTTTAATATACCTATAATTACTCAAAGTTTAATGAAACACCCTTTAAAGGGATTTCATATCCCCTCGGTTACTATAAATGTAGAGTTGTACACGCAAACAAATTCGCGGCCACAGCGGGTCATATCGACTTGTTAATTCACACTAGCGCTGTCGCTTCTGAATTGCCTATTGCCGGCCAGTTTCATGATACACTGCGGACGGAAGCATCGCGTGCTCTCGCGCAAGCAGATTACTGTTGTCAATTCAAACAGCCTGAGCGGAACGGGAAAGCTAAATAATATTGCTGGTTATTTAAAAAAATAAGTACCCATTTCGATATTAATGTGTTTTTTTTTCGTTGAAAGAATTTCCGTAAGTGTTTGTGATAGTGGCTAATGATGTTTTAAGTGATGTGTTTCGATGGTCAGTGAGTGTTTCACTCAAGTGCGTTAATAAATATGGTAGGTATTAAAGTAGACTTTGCAGGAAAATAGGTAGATGTTTTAAAATTTAAATTACGCTTTTTCTATGGTCGTTGATAGTATGTTTTTTTAGTTTAATAGCATGTGCTTTAAATTCCTGTGGTATTTCCATAATTAAATTTTAGCACTATTAATAGTATGTTTGTTGAACAAAATATTCTTGTGTTAGTAAACATACTATTTACGCTACTAAGGAGTATATTTAACATTGTCAAGTATGCTACAAACATTATGTAAATTAATCATAACATAATTGGCATATTATATTTTTGGTACAATGCAGGAAACTTGAATTAAATGATCGTGTATCCTTTACTAATATTATAAATGTGCAAGTGTGTCTGGCTCTTACCTTTATTTATTTAGGACAACCAACAAAGTGCATACATGTCTAGCAATATAGAACACATGTTAAAAATCACAATTGGAAGTGCTGCCGTATATTCTATTTAACTTTCAATATAGGCAATACTTTGTCTTTAATAAAAGCAGCCAGTATAGGTTTATATTATAACTAGCTGTTCCCGCGACTTCGTCCGCGTGGAATTTAACTTTATTTTTCTAAAATAAAAGTAGTCTAAGTTATTCCTCATTACATCAGCTACCTGCCAAAAATGCCCCGTCAAAATCGGTCCAGCCATATCAGAGATGAGCCAGAACAAACAGACAGACAAAAATTGTAAAAAGTGTAATTTTGGTGTATGTACCGTATTTATATTCATATGCATGTAGTAAAAATAATTATTTCATTATTACAAACAGACACTCCAATTTTATTTAAATGTGTAGATAATGACCCCATAAATTAGGTCACACAAATTAGAAACAATATCGATTGATCTTTTACAATATAACACGCATTTATTTTGGTAATCCAAATTGAAGTCATTGACACAAAATCAAATGCCGTGGGAATGTATTATTTATGATTCAACTGTCACCCGATTTAGTAAACTATACTCACTCACGCTATCAAAATACACACATATCGTTATTGATTTCTATATGTTACAACAATATTTGTTATCTAGCCTTTAGTAGGTATTGTTGTGAATGCTATGGTAAACACCAGCGTGTTTCTTAATTAATGAAATTAATCTAAAATGTAACAATTGTCGATGATACTCATCGACAATTTTTACGTCAATACATATGTGTACACATGTGATTGGAGCGGAAACACTACAACTATTTAATAAAAAATGGTTTCCCAAGAGGGCTCACAAAAGTCAATAGTGAGTGTCATAAAAAGGGGTCTAAATAATACAAATATTTAAAAAAGAACGGTGAAGTTGTCAGCAACATTACGTATATTTTTTGACATTTGAGACGTCTAAATGTACTTATTACTTTATTTGAGAATACAGCATGCAAATTAATTAAATATATTGTCACTAACAATTACTACTAAAAATGTGTAGAAAAAATAAGTTGTATCTAATATTTTATACATAATTCGAGAGTCCGAAGTTCAAGACTATACACCCTAATTCACTGTAATATTTCCGTAGAAAATTTTGGGTTACTCACGGCAAAGTCCCCGTAATTTTTCATAAATTATTAGCTATTACCGTAACTTTCTTTTGCTTTTTTATATAAATTACAGTCTACGTCCTTCCTTGTGGTACGATCTATTTCCACACAAAATTCACATAGATTTTGAATTTCAATAAAATCTCATTAACAACATGAAATCAAAGTATTGTATCTAGTTACTATTTTTAATCTTATTATACCATTAAAAGCTTAAAAATGTTTCAAATATCTGGTATTAGTATTAAAATACGGACGTCGACCCTTTTACAGTGTTCAGATTTTCGTTATTATATTATATCTGCAAACATTTTTCAACTCTTTTGTATATTTTTTAAAATTTACAAATGTAACAATATCTTATACTGTAAGTTGTTAAAAATTTTTATAAAATGATTTGTATCATTTTAGGAATCCTCATATTATTTTTTTACAATCAATACATTAAAAAGTTCTTACGGTAAATTGTTTGTTATAAGTTTTAAAGTCTTTTTAAATACAGTTTTAGTTATCTGATTAAAAATAAGTATAAAGGTAATTTACTTTTATCTTTATGGTTACATTTTGGAAACTTTATGGAGGTAACCGGTATCAAAGACAAATTTCTTATAATACAACTTATTGATTTTACAAGTTATAGGTCACTATTAAAATCAATACTGATAGCTAAAATGTTAACGTGCATTTGTCACTTGTCATATTTTATGATGTTTTATAAACATATTTTTTTTTTATAAAACTTATGAGTTGCTGCTTCGTTTTCTTTTCAATAAGATAAATAAATATTCGAATTCAGTGAACATTAATGGACCTAACCTTAAACTCTTAGACAATTTAAAAGTTATTTTATTTATTTAATTTCAGATTTGTGTAGGCTTTATCATTTACATTATGTTTATCGTTCGACCCTAGCAAAACCAGGACGAAATCATAAAAAAACATCTTAATGGAAAAATCGCTGTTTTTAATGCTTTCACTTGTTTTATTAGAAACTAGCAATTTTCCCACTAGAAAAAAATATATTTTTCATTTAATTAAAAGAAAAAAGTTCAATTAATGTAATGAATTTGAATGTCTTTTGTTATTTTCTACAAGAAAATTCTAATTAATATTTTTTTGACTTCTGTATAGAGGGCTAGTTAGTAGATATATTAGTTAAAAATACATATTAATTAACTTGTGTTTGTTTATATATCGTACATATAATATCAAAATAAATTAAGTATATTAAATAAATAAATTAGTTTATATTCATTAAAAAAAATGAAAATAGTCTAATTACACTAACGTCTAAATGAAATTTTTTTAACGTTAATGTAATTTAATTTTTTTTATAGATTAGAGATCGTTTAGTTAATCCAATATTATACTAGGTGTGTGATATTATATTTGTATTATTTATAGAAATATTATTTATACATACATATATACAGGTATAGCTGGTGTTCCTGGAAATTTATTGGTTTTAGTTAGATAGGTCCTATACATCCGATTGAGTGTTTCAAAGATTAAATGTCAAAATTAGCTTTTATCTACTGATATTGACAAATCCTGATAATGCATCGTTTCTACTAACGTAGTAGGTACGCAACATTTTTATACAATCTGTAACTGTTGCTAAAATCTATTAGTAAAGTAGTTAATTCGAAGTTACATCAGTATGTGCAAATTTATTTTACAAAAATTTGAATTCAAAATTTAAAATCATGATTCAAGACAGTCAAGACTTCTTGCGTCAGAAGTGAAAGAACTACGATATCTCGTACTATTGGACAAAGTATACATGTGTGCTGCTTTTTTTTCGGACTACTCTAATGCTGTTGACCGCAGCTGGCCTTTACAGCTTCACGGGACGATAGAGGATGAGTGCAGATGGCACTGCAAACCCGCGGAAGGACTTATGGAGCGGCTGAAGGCCAACTCCCGCCTGACGGATACGACTTTAGTCTGAGGGCACAGCTAGGGGATCAAACATAGGCTCAGGCCATCGTAATTTCGATCCCTGTTTGAATTAGGGGATCGATCGGAGGGGCACCTTATTGCTGTAATTTATGTAAATTATGTAAAAAAACATTACGACGTAAATTACCAATATTTCTTTCTAAAATTGTCAGTCATGTTTAAGTATTATAGATTATACAATTATTCTTTTACTAATTTAAAAATATTATATTTAATAGCCATCTTTATTGTTGCAGGTTCTGTGTGCGGATCGTTAGATAAACAGCAATAGAACTGTGATAGAATTTCTGGAGCATCCAACGCCGTGGAATGGTTCCTGTGTGTTGGCATTGTCTTGTTCATGTAAGTAATAGATATTATTTAATTTTTTATTCTTTATTGCACTTTTAAAAATTGTATAATTTGGCGAGCTGAATGCCATATGTCATTCTCTACCTAACCATTAGGTAAGAACAGAAAGCGGTTGATAGGCAATGGTGGGAAAGGACTAACCTATAATTTTAATTTTAAACTATTATCTATATATTATAGAATACAATGCATAAACATGGTGGTTTTTATGGAAGATCTTTAACAGCAGGTACTTGCCTTAAATCTAATAAGAGTATAGTTCAATGAACTTTCACGACTGTAGACATTTACACATTTTGGAGAAAATTTATAGTTGGGAAATAAATTGACAATTTACACGGGTCTTTTTTCTTATTGACAAACATTTATTTTAAAAATCGTAATACTAACATAGAGTAGAGATTAGAAATGACAAAAATGATTCTTTATGAATGTCATACAAACAAGGGAACAAAACAAGTTATTTATATATACTATGGCATATTTAGCAGCATGCATAGCATCATTTTCATCATAAGATTGCAACGAGCGAGACATAGGTATATTCAGTTGTTACAATAATTTATGCGAATGATGCGTAATTACATATGATGCCAGAATATCAGTTGGCTAGAAGTCATGAGTCGGCTTCAAGTAGCATGCAAATTGATACTCCGATATTTATCTACACGATCACGTGTGACCGACGTTATTAAAGTTGGATGGTATTGTATTATAATCCAACGTTCATCATTTTATTGAAAATAGTGTTAAATTTAATTATTATTATAACATTGTTCAATCCACCAGCGTTATCTTGTCACAAGCTAAGCAGACTGCGTTATTACCATAACGCAGTCTGCACGAAACAACTCATAGAAATACTTAATAAAATTATTTGTATGGATATGTGAAAATTATTAAGCCCTAGAAATTGTTTCTATTTCTCATACATAACAGATACAATGTTTTTATGAAAAGGTAATTCTATATATCCAATGTTATGTCGTAATTATTATATAATGATATGGTTCCTACGTAACTAGGAACAATATCAAGAAAATTAATAAAAATATTTAGTGACTCAATGGTAAAATAATTATTATCTTAAGGGAAATGTTGATTTATTAGACAGTATACATTTCACTCGTCGGTGAATGTAGGTGTTTCCAATTCTAATGCATTTCTGAATGTCTATGGTAGCAGTCCACGTGAATATTTAAAAAGTCACGTTCTCGTATTCCCAACGTAGTTTTAAAGCATGTACCTTCGTAATAGATGTACACACAAGTACGACTTTATTTCAAAAACTGTAGAGTTTATATTTAAAGTACTTAAATACCATCGCAACTAGAGAGTGCTACTGTTGGTATCGTTGAAAGTACTAAGCTTCGGCCGGAACTTGGTGGAAGTGTAATTTACGACTAGACTAGTTTTATAGTTATCTTTATAGGGCATTTTGTAGTAGCATATTAAGTAATCTGATGTAGGTAAATGGTATAGGCTTGAAAATATTGCACTCGAAAACTAGTTTGCAGTTTTAGCTTATAGAAGATATTGGCCACTAACTGTTGGAATTTCTAGAAAGAAAATAACCCTTAACCTGAGAGACCCTGAATATAATAACAAAAGCCCAGTGAATATTTTATTGACAAGCCTCTGCATAATTCAAATATATAGAAGATTACAGAATAAGAGATTATACCGTTTTAGTTCTCTAAAATGGCAACGCATGAGTGGTATCGCGAGTGTCACATGATAACGTGATCCACACATGTGAGCACATGTATATAGGCGACGGTTACCACTCACCATCTGATGGTAATGACAATTATATAAAACATTATTGATATCATTATTATGTAAGTTATCGTAATATAGTATTTTTTATAGTGCATCTTTCGCAAGCAATGATATTTCAGATTACATGCACGATAATACACTCATATCAAGATAATACATAAGACATGTTTAAGTATATACAATATGTACAATGTTGAAGCTATGTGATGTTGAAATCTCCCAGTAAACCAATTAGTATTCAGTGTTGGCTAGCCCACAACTGTGCGGTTCGTGTTGTGACTTACTCGATGCTTGTTTGTTTAATATTCTCGTACTATATAATACCTACATGTTAGAAATTGCTCATTATGGGCAGAACTACCTATAATTTTGTATATTTATTTTGTTATGAAAAGCCACAAAATCTACAAGTAAAATATATACGCCATGACGTGTATAAGTTCTAATGACATCATTATACTCCCTTATGTCAGCATGTGCTCTAGTATTTTTTAAAATTATAGGTAATTTAGCAATAGAAATTTAATAAATATTTGCGCCTATATTGACTATATGCTAAACTTTACTACATTCGTGTACCTATACTTACCTTGTGTCCATAAGGCCCTTTTCACAATATAATTTGTAGTAAATTAGAGAAACGGTATTCATTTTACTATTTCTAACCTCGAATGTAGCATAGTAATGATTAACCCTCTCTTTTCAAACATTATTCTGTATATAATATAATTGCCGTAAGAGTATAGCATCACGACAATTGACTTCAACGATTAAACTTTTCTTTCAAACTAATTATCCTTTTGTTTTAACTCTCCTGCTATTGGAACATGTAGATATTGCAGAAATATAATATTTGGTTGATATTAATGTGTAAAGTAGGCTACAGGTAAATAATACTGATATTCTGCAACCTTCTTATTCTTTTAAACTACTTGTAACTTATTAACCAATCATTAAACATTCCTTTTCCCTATAAAGTAGTATAATTAATACTATGTTTAGGAGTTAGAGACTTTGCATAAGATATTCTTGTTACAGGGCAAACTAAGGTCTACTATTGTTTATTCATTAGATGACTGTATCTACCGCGGCCACAGAAGGTCAGGTCTCTGAATGTCAGCTGTCGTGACGCCTATATCGCCATATTTAATTGAATCTAATAGTACATTTTGTTAAATAGTAACGAGATTTTTGTATAGGTCAAATTAGAAAACTTGAGTTATATTCAAGAAATAAATAAATTATGTGAGGAATTTAGAATTACCATATTTTCCGAATTTGCTTGATCTATTTTTGACCTCTAATTATTAGTCTGTCACGAACATACCTTCATTTATAGAGCCTTCACAAGTAACGTTGACACATTAATCTGGTATTTGGCTTTTATATAATAGTTAGAGATCCTTTCTGGTTTTTGATCTTTATTGCTCTCAATTTCAACACCCACGTTTATCTGATCAATTTAATTACGCGTCTCAATTGCCTGTTTACATTATTTATTAACGTTATCATTATGAAATCATGTAGTAATATTAATAGTTAATATTACTCCTGTTTGAGTATAAAAGGCTGCGATCCTTCCCGGATATCGGCGGTATTGTCTGTAAAAGCACGTAGGAATTTGTATTCGGGTCTCGTTTGTAACTGTTGTTTTGAATTACACCTGCGGGCGTTATTGAACTTTGAATGGTTAGCAACGATTATGAATAGTGAGCGAAATTCTCCATACAATCATTACATATAAAAAAAAATATATATATTACATAACATTGTTCAGTTTTCAACTCAATATCAATTACATGAAAGAAGATAATTAAAAACGAAATTATAGTGTTTATCTAGTTTAAAGTAACACCTTAGCTCTGGGTTTTAGCCAGCCGACCCACATGTAATTTATAAATCTACATAGTATCTAATATATAAACGGTCTCATTGTAAAATAACAGATGAGTATATATATTCCGTGTACAGCATCTTCTACCATACCTATAAAGCAGTAAGTATTGTACGTCAGGATGTTTTTTTTTATATTAATTACTTTTTTTACTGTTCAGAGTAATGAGCAAATTGTTCTATATAGTATTAATTTCTTTTTTCTTAACTTACCTTATGTTTTCTTTGTCTGACCATAAGAAATAAAGTAGCAGTAGGCTTGAGACTTTTCTATGTATAATGTATCAAATTATTGTTCACTGCGGATAATATTAATTCACTGTATGTTACAATATTAATAGGCTAGTGTTAACATTGTTCTTACATTGTATTACGTAATTTCCTTTTCCTTAACCTATGTTCGCCCACTGTTATTAATCAGCTAGGTTATGTCATACAAAGATTATGATTGCTCATAATGCTTATAATAGGTCAATCCCAATCATAAATTGGTTACTGTTCATGGATAATTTGAACTTATTTAAGTATAGCCATTTAACATATTGACGATGAAAACAGCCTTATGTTTATTGCATTTGGATAAAATTTTGAAATAAAACACAATATCAATTCGCAAGTTTAACTATGTAATTATTAGTGGTAGGTAATGGTAAGAATCCTTCTCTTCTAAGGAGAGACTTGGAGTATGAGAATGGGTAATTCTGATGATGATGTTACTAAGCGGTGTTATATTACTAGCCGTACCAGTAAATCGAGGAAGTCACTCCATATCCAGCCCTAAAAATTTCTACGTTATCTTTTGTTATTGCTAATCAAATTTCATCTAGTGACCCTTAACGATCACTATCAAATAATCGGGATGGGAATATAATAATAATATATATAGAATATAATACTTCAAAGATGAAATGAAAATAAGCTTCGCAGAAATGGGACTAGAACTAATAATTGGAAAATTGTTTTTGATTGCTTCTTGTGGAGGGCTTGTTCCGTCAAGTGTATATAGGACGGTTTGGATGAATTTAGAACGGTGATATCTTTTTAACTATAATAAAAACTTTCTTCCTTCGATCAAGCATTACAGAAATCTGGATATCTCAATTTATAAATTATAAGGTAGTGTTACTAGACTTTTTTGTTGTCAGTCCGTGTATTTTCTCTATTTTGGATAAATATGAAATGCTATATCTGCTTGCGGTAACGGTATACACTGCCAGGTCACCAATGAAGGATGATAACATGAAGTAATATCTTGTAGCTCATCATAATCATTAACCATGAGAGAGAGGGTGCCGCATGGAGGTCGACTAAATAGG